TTTTTTTTTTTTTTTTTTGGTTTTCTCTTCCATGATGTTCCAGATACGCATCAGTCTTCTTGCTAAATACAATTTGAAGCAGGTTTAACCCGTGACAAGTGGATGGATCGCGTGTGACCCATCAGATGTTTCCTTCTAGTTATTTAAGTTGCCCCGGCTTCTTTTTTTTCATTAACCATACATACAAAGCAAGTTTTATCATGCCCCAAACAGGGGTCATGCTAATTCGCCCACAAAAGAGACGAATACAACTAAAACCTAGACGTAAATAAAGCCCTAGTATTCATACTACCTCTCAGAAAAGTACAAGTGTCGTGATACTAGGTTTATATCCACATATTCATCATTTCCAGCTAAGCATTAGTTAAATATAGCCCATTACAGCGCCGATCTAGCTGTGACCATATCAAGCGTAAGAGGTTTCTAATATTCCAATGAGATTGTTAGCCACATGCTAAGCTATGTCACAAAAATTTGATCTCCTTAATTCTTTGCTTAGTGAGCAAGCCTTGGCCATGCTGAAACTAATGGAAATATTACCATACCTCGCTAGTCTTCTCGCTTATCTACGCTCTCCAAAACCGAAAAGCTACCTACTCGGTGTATTGTCCATATACATGGTCAAAGTTTGGTAATTCATACATGTATTCGGCACCAAATACATCTGACTCATGGAATGCCACTGAGCAATGCGTCGCTCCTGAAAGGAGATCCAAATATCGCATACGTACCTCAAAGAAGGAAGCTCAAATGTTTGGTAGTATAGAAGCGCAATTTCTACTTTGATCAATCATCTGCCAAAGACCCGTCGTATTGCAACCACAGAGGAGTGTATCAGTGGTTAAGATTGCAGTCAAGGTTACTTCCATCTAGATGTATGCATATTCATTTAGTGCATTTCATCTGACCCAATTTCTCTTCTTCATCACGGCGTTTAAAAAAACTCATTGTTAGGCTCTCCCAACCATTCCTTTTCCAGTAGTGAGCTGAGGCCCATTGAAATTGCTGAGATGAACCTTTATGAAGCAGTTAGTTTTTACAGATAGAGTATGTTTCCACCCCCACCCCCTCATGAATGCCTACCCCTGAAACAAAAGCCTTCTTCTTTGCTATTGAGCCTTAAAGCCTGAGAACTTTGGCTGATAGATTGTACAAAGCTTTTTATCGAATAAGACTGTCAACACAAAGCCAAATCCCTTCTTCCATGGATTCTGGGTCTCAATATACTTCTGAGTCCTTAGATCAAGTAATTTCACTCTATTCTCTGTGATATGGGCTGGTAGATTAGGCGTTCCCGACATCGAACCATTCTCACTAATTTCGCGTCGTTAGAGGTCTAGTTTCTTCATTCGTTATTCCTCATGGTGTCGAATCAAGTCCAAAGCCCCCAAGCATCGCGCCCTCTAGGTTGAATGTTTGAGTGAATTATGTCCTGCGGCGGGCATCATCCCCTCGACGTTTGGACTGCCTTTAGAAGACCCGTTTTGCTAAACAAATCGTCTCACTAAGCATTATCGAAGTTCTACCTTGCAACTATGGATTTCTGTGGCAAGCTGACAGGCAGATAAATCACTTCAAAGAAATCAGAAGGCTTTCAGGCTGAATTATCAATCAGTTTACCCCTCGGCTCATATACTCACTAGGATTGTCCCTTCAATCAATTATTCGATTTTGAGAAGGTCTCTCTATCATAATTTGAGAGGTTATGTCAAGGGTTTCGTTCCAAACTATTGTCTGTAAAAGTACAAACACTAGATGTCAAGTAGTAGAGCTCAATCCAGAATCTCGAACGGGAAAATTGAGATTTCTTAGCTACCCTTTTGTGAGTTTATTGATTTGGAGCAGAAAAGAGTGCCTCTTGAATAATACGTCAAGTGATTGAAGCTAGAAAGAGGGCTTCTTGTTTTTCCTATGCAGGAAGTCTGCGCACTTTGTCATTCCCGGCGGAAATTCCGTGTCAATAGTCCAAGGTCTACGATAGAGTTGGAGTGATCCGACTCATGTTGCTGCTGCTGTGCCTCAATTATTTCAGCGGGCAAAGCCGTGTTCTAAGATACTTTCATTCTCGGATGGTCAGATTGGCCACGGGCGATGACATGCCTTAACCAGTACCGATCTTGGCGAAGGATCCCCAAACAGCTAAGAAGGGTTATCGCCGACCTCTACTACTACATTGCTGCTGAATAGGACGATTAGGGATCCGAAATCAACAGATCAAAAGTTGAAGCCAATAAATTGAAGTGCTAATAATAGCGATTTTGCAAAGGGGGAAAGCTTTCCACTTGTCGACTGGACCTTTCGTAGTCCGGCGTAGCATGGATGAGGCAACCAAAGACCGTTCTAGATGACCATTTCAGAAGTATGCGCGACAAATTCGGAAATTATACGCCAGCAATTCCAAGTTAGGAACATGAAACAGAGGGCAACTCTCGGCTGACAGGCGGAGTCCGACAGGCACAACGAAATATATGAGGTCAAACTGTAATAGGAAACGCCCGATGCTGCAAATAGATCTCCGCATGACAATGGGCTCCCTCATATTGAAAGACATAAGTATCTAGATAGCCATTTTCTTAGATTACTTTAACACCACATATCAGTGATGCTACTTTAGATGGTCCCTGTGTTATCATGAAAGCCTTTTTCGCTCTTTCATGCCTACTGTCGGCTGTACAGGCTGTCACCCTCTCAGACTGCCCCGGCTACAAGGCCTCAAATGTCAAAACAACCGACACAGGTCTCACGGCCGACCTAGGGCTGAATGGCGCTACCTGTGGAATCTACGGTAGAGATCTTCATACTCTCAAACTAATTGTTGAATATCAAACAGGTTCGTAGTGTGTTTCATTTACGGTCACTTGTGGTTGCTTACAGGAGTCTTCCCTACCTTCATCAGATAAACGGTTGCACGTCGTGATTCAAGATGGTGGCTTGAATGTCTTTCAAATTCAGGAAGACATCATTCCTCGGCCCGCCAACAATAAGGCCAAGGCTGCGGATTCGGATCTAGAGTTCAGCCTTATCGAACAGCCATTCTCCTTTAAAGTGAAAAGACGCAAGACCGGCGAGGTATTGTTCGATACAACAGGGAATAAGCTCGTCTTTGAAACCCAGTTTCTCCACTTCAAAACTAACCTACCGGCAAATCCCAACTTATACGGCCTTGGAGAACATACCGATTCATTTCGATTCAACACAGATGGCTCCTATAGGCGCACACTCTGGAACAGAGAGGCTCCATTCGTTCCCAGGAAATCTAATCTGTACGGCAGCATGCCGATGTATATAGAGCATCGCGACACCGGGACCCATGGCGTTCTTTTCCTCAATTCTAATGGAATGGATATCAATATGACCAAGACTACTAACGGCCATTCACTCGAGTATAATACTCTTGGAGGTATCGCCGACCTTTACTTCTTCTCCGGCCCAGATCCTACGGATGTTAGCAAGCAACATGCCGAAGCTTTCGGTTTGCCTGCAATGATGCCATATTGGTCCCTCGGCTTTCACCAGGCTAAGTACGGTTACTGGGATGTCAATATGCTGGCTGAAGTTGCTGCAAACTATTCTACAGCTAATATCCCACTCGAAGTAGTCTGGGCTGATATCGACTACATGGACTACCGGAAGGACTTCACCCTCGATCCTCTACGTTTCCCTCTGAAGAAGGTTCGAGAGCTTGTATCAACTCTCAAGAGTCGCGACCAGCGCTTTGTCATGATGTTAGACCCCGGTATTAGTAACAAGGCTGGTTACGCTCCTTTTACTCGCGGCCATAACAAAAACGTCTTCCTCAAAACTGCCGGTGGTTCTGACTTCCGGGGCGTACAATGGGCCGGAGTTGTCGTCTGGCCAGACTACCACTCTCAGGAAGGGCAGCAATGGTGGAAGGATGAAATCCTGTCTTTCTTCAATCCGGACACCGGGGTGGACGTCGATGGTATCTGGAATGACATGAATGAACCCTCGAACTTTTGCCCCGATGTCAATTGTGATCCCGTTGCGCATGCTAAAGCTGCCAACGCACCGCCCGAGCCTAAGAATGCTCCTCGAGACAATACAGGGCGGCCAATCCCCGGGTTTCCGGCCAGCTTTCAGCCAAAGAGTTCAAAAGGAAGCCTTCCAGATGAGATAGAGGAATACAATGGTCTCATTGGGGACGACCTACCCCTTGTTCAGAGGACAACAAATCTTGTGAAGCGAGCAGATGGAGACAAGAAAGGTCTCAACGAGAGAACAAATTATTATCTCCTCAATCCCTTTTACCGAATCAACAACGCCAAGGGTGACATCAGCAAGGTCACTGTCTACACCAACATTACCAACCATGACGGCACCAAGCATTATGATACTCACAATTTGTATGGCCTCACAATGACCATTGCTAGTTATAAGGCGATGTTGGCTCGTAGGCCAACAAAGCGCCCCTTTGTTCTTACGCGATCGACCTTCCTTACAACGGGAGTGTGGTCCGCTCACTGGTTCGGTGACAATTATTCCAGCTGGGACGACTATCGGTTCTCTATTTCGCAAATGCTCACCAGTTCTGCTGTCCATAACATGCCCATGACCGGATCAGACGTCTGTGGCTTCAATGGCAATGTCAAGGAGGGAATGTGCGCTCGGTGGGCTATGCTCTCCGCATTTCAACCTTTCATGAGGAATCATGCTGAGATCGGCGCGCCGCATCAAGAGTTCTATTTATGGAGTAGTGTGACCAAGTCGGCGCAAAAGGCCTTGGACGCGCGGTACCGTCTGATGGACTACATCTATACGGCCCTGCATATGTCAAGTACAACTGGATCTCCAAGCGTGTACCCGTTGTTCTTCCTATACCCTCAAGATAAGAACACGTATTCGATCCAGACACAGTGGTTCTTGGGCAATTCCATCCTCATTTGTCCTGTTGTTACCGATGATGGCACATCAGTTGCCTTTTACTTGCCAGATGATATATTTTATGACTTCTGGACTCTTAAACAAGTCAAGGGCGAGGGTAAGACGATGACACTGAACAATCTATCGCTTCAAGATATTCCAGTATACTATAGGGGAGGAACAATTGTGCCACAGCGAAGCAAGTCTGCAATGCGAACAGCGTCCTTGCGAGGTAATGAGTTCACTCTTTTCGTCGCTCCCGGCAAGGATGACTCTGCCACTGGCTCTCTAATTCTAGACGATGGCGAGAGTCTCAAGGGAAGCACTTCAGATATCCAGTTCTCATACAAGGGCGGCAGCTTGAGCGTTACGGGATCCTTTGCCTACAAATCTGGACGCAAGGTGGAGAAGATTGTGATTCTTGGAGCGGATGGTCAAAAGAACAAAACGGGATCGTGGTCACTTGACAGTGCTTTTTCGGTTTCCGGCTTCTAGAGATAAATCAATACAGCGTGGACGAGTAGCAATTAGAGTTGGGAAAATATAGAGCGACCGGTTAGACAGCATAGAACTTGTATAAAGATAAACCACTCGGCTGTGTAGCTCATGATTGGATTGACGTCTCATACAACAGGCCACTTCAAGTTTTTACTAACGAACCAAGACCACTATATCAAGCACCTGAGCGTAATTTTCCGCTACATGGCTTTGGAAGACGCATGCATTCCATTGGTGGTTTCGGTCCCTAGCAGTACTTGCTCATTACTTCCGTTTTCCTTTCAATATAACCTTGCTTTCTTCCCTCTGTTCAAAGCGCTGGTAAGCAAGAGGGGCGTCTTCAAGGCTATATTCGTTAGAAAAAATGAATCCAGGGCGTGCACCTCCGTTCTTGACGAGCTCTACTAGAGCAGGAACCGAATTCTTGAGATCCAACATCCCGCCCTGGATACGTAGGCTCTTAAACCAGGCCTGCTCAATGGGAAAACTGATCTCCGGCTTAATCCCAAGCTTTCTCGATGCCTCTGTTCCCTTGCCGCCATCAATGAGAGAAAGCATGTAGGCGCCGGCGATTCCTATGCCCCCGTTGAGTGTAGTTATGGCAGTGGCTTCACGCAGGATGTAATCTTGCTGCAACTGGAGATCTTCGTTTATGCATGTTTCACCAACACAATCCACACTGCGTTTGACGCCCTGAGGACGCAAGGCAAGAATCTGCTCCGATGCTTTACCGCCGCGGGTAAAATTGATTGGCATAGCACCGATTGAGGCCGCCTTGGCAAGGCGCGAGGGTACATGGTCAATCACATACACCAAGGAAGCGCCTCGAAGGATGGCGCTGTAAGCACACATGAGGCCAATCCCGCCGGCGCCAAAGACAGAGACCGTATCCCCAGCTTCAAACCCTGAACGAGAGAGAGCAGTCCATCCTGTAGGGAAGGCATCGGTAAGGGGAAGCCACTCTTTGTCATCCAACGAGGAGGGTATCTTGACAAGCGAGGAGTCAGCCCATGGAATGCAGGCATATTCAGCTGTTAAATGATATTAACACAAGTCGGCGGGACATGATAGGAGTAACGCACTCTGAAGGCCCTTGTCCGAACCCATCTCCAAACCAAGACCAAATGCAACAGGTCCCTCTGACGAGACAAAGGACATGGAAGGTTTGGGGAGGAAGTTACCATCCTCGGCTCAAGACATGGTCACCGCGCTGAAAAAAGCCGACTGCAGGTCCAACTCCCTCAATGATGCCCACGGCTTCATGGCCGACGCCCCATGGAACATTTTTAGCGCCAACTAGACCGTGGTAGATGTGAGGATCAGTCCCACAGATCGCCGACGAGGTGATGCGGACAATTGCATCTTCAGGTTTTGTGATCTTGGGGATAGGGACGATGTTCGTGCTCATATGGCCAATTTTGCCTTCCCACTGGACGGCTTTCATATAGCCTTGTGCTGACCAATTGGTCATGATGGCGATAGAACGTACTTGATTCTGAGGACAGAGTTCTTGGAGTGATCTGGAGTTGGAAAGCTATCTAGGCTCATCGAAAATGGCATTTCACACAGAGAACCCAGTCTCATCTTTTATGATTCCGAATTTTATGATTTCTTTATTTTTATTTTCAACAAAATGACGTGAGGCGATCCGAAGGGAAATAAGTTCCATCCAAGTGCTGACCACAGCAACAAGGCCCTGCCATTTTTCAGTCACAAGCCACTATCACGAGACGATTCAGCGCTGTTTGCTGGAGGTAAGCGATGAATTTTTCATGCCCGTTTTCTGCCTTTGCTGGATCTTTTGCAAGGAATTACCTGACATCCAGTGGTACAATTTCACAAGCCATTGGCTGAGCGTAGACCGCGCATATGTGTCACCAGAGTCAAGGTCGAGTGTAAGATGTCAGCAGTGCAACCTTCGCTCAACGCGAGCTTATTATGAAGTTCCGAGGCTTTATTGAATCATTACTGTATTTACGTATAGTCATTGAGGCACCAGCTGCCCGGATCAAGACTGAAAGGCCATGAAAGGCTAGTGGTACAGCCTTATGGACACTCGGGGGGTGTTTGGTGTGCTGTTACGAGGCGCAAGGCCAACAAACGAGAAATTGACGAGAAAAGTCTAATTCCGAGACAACTATTATTGTCCTTGCCGAGTTGTGGTGACTTGGGCTTTTGTATACTCGATTGAGCCAAACCTGAGTGTAACATCCTGAGAGAGTGTGACCTTACGTGAGGTGAGGATGGCGCGATGCGTCACAGAATGGTTACGAAACTTATTCAATTACGTTACCTCTCGTCACAATTGAAACACCAGGCTCGGAGGCATCATTCAATGAGAATTTCCCTCGCTGTGTTGATAAAAAGTTAGAACCACGTGTTGTGACGGATACACACGCCAAAAATCACAAGGTAATGATAGACCAAGGCATCTCAATACTGTTTGGAAACTCGCCTGGGGAAGCATCTTTTTGATCTTCATTTGTTGGACCCCTAGGCCTAGTCTCTTTTTCTCAATCGGAGTGTCCCGGGTAGCTAAGGTGGTAGCATGTAATTGAATCTCGAATCTCAACATGTGCCCTGCCGAGCCTTTTACCTGAGGAGCTTGTTTTTGCCAGGTCAGACATTGTCGTAAGGATGCCGAAGACATATCATGAAGGGAGAACATTCTTAATCAGCAACATCTTTATCTTTGTCCCCTACCACTATCCCCCAAGGCCTTTTTCTCTTCTTAGTCTTTCTTTTTCTTTTTACGTTAAAGGTGAGCAACATGGTTGACAAGACCTGATCAATTGATTCAAAACTCATGACGGTGGCTGTAGGGTAGGTAGGTAACATTCGCACGTCCATGATAAATACGCCAGCATTTTCTACCATCCTTTTGTCGTAGGGAGAACAGATTGCGAGAGATTACGCCGATAAGCTACCGACAGACGCCGATAAGCTCATGATCAGCAGCAGCATAACTAATTGCTTTACTTAACAGTGAAAGCTTGTGGCTCGAGCGCCTATTCGCTATCAGCCACCTGCTTGATTGAGGATAAGCAAAGCGAAGGTTAACCGAAGGAAGCTCCTAGCCTTAACAATTGGTACGATTTCAAACATGGGGAAAATGCTCCACGCAGGTAAATTGCCCCTGGAACAACCTTGCAATGCAACATGAATTCAGGAACCGGCCACACCCAAAGCTGGCAGGCCAAGCGCGAGCGATGGGAATCACCCCAGAGACGCACCCATCAGATGGCATGAGGAAATTACGCGTCGCTCATCCCGACTGTCGGCTCTGTCGTGATTGGATGTGTGTTGCTGGGCCACAACGATGCTACTCCTGAGCTCTCGGGCGTGAACTTGGCACAGCCGAAATAAGCAATTCCTAAGCATCATCCAATCTAGCCTATCGACCGAGGCGATTGACAATTCTCTATCCAGTCAATCGCAACATCGTTTGTGCTGGTGAACTCGACGCGACATGATCACCAACGACGCGGAACCCGACAAGGCAAAAGAGGCGATCGACGGCTGAACTGAAGAGGCCGCCACAGCCACTGGATTGGATCGAATTGATTTTTCGGTGAACCGTCGCTTCTTTGGCAAGAACTTTTGCTCGCCACTCTTATCTGGATGCTCCGCACTTTTCAAAAAGATCCCTCCATACCCCAATGCCCCATCAGGCAGGTGCCTCCCCCTGTCGCTGATATGGCCAGTCGAATACACTTTTCCAGCGCGTCATGAAAGTGCCAAAGAAGCAGCTGATGGGCTTTCTCTTGGGGTCGGTTTGTATTTAAGAGCAGGTCACCCACCCATCTGCAGCTGGTGTCATGTCGTAAGCTTTCCGAGCCCCATCCTTACTCCCTCCGACCTCTTCAAAAAGCCACTCTTTTGACAAGATGAAGTTCTCCGCTGCCATTGCTGCCCTCGGGCTCACATCCGCCGCTGCTGGATGTCTCCTCGACAGTGAGCGAGAGGCGGAGCGCCTCTATGCTCGAACCGGCGAGCGCCCCGGCCGTACTGTCTCGAGAGTGAAGAGAGCCTCCACTGCTTTCCCCATTGGCACCGGAGACCGTTTTTCTAATGGATGCGTCGCCCCGGTCGGTCTTGGTACCAAGGACCGCGATGTCCAGTCCATCTTCAATGTCAAGGAGGTCGGCACCGCCCTCAAGGGTCTGAAGAAGGCCTACCCAGACGACATCAAGCTCTTCAAGCCCCCCTTCAAGACATATGAGGGCAGGGACTTTCCCGGAGCCATCATTGGCGAGAATCCCAGAGTCTTCATCATGAGCGGCATCCATGCCCGCGAGCGTGGAGGCCCCGACAGCGTCATCTACTTCATCGCTGATCTCCTGGCCGCCAAGAAGGCCGGCACTGGCGTTACCTACGGTAACAAGAGCTACACGCTTGCGGATGTCGAGAAGGCCCTCTCTGCCGGTGTCATCGTCATCCCCCTCACCAACCCCGACGGTGTCGCATACGACCAGTCCACCGGCAGCTGCTGGCGCAAGAACCGCAACCCCGAGTCCTCGGGCGGCGACGCCGAGAAGATCGGTGTCGACCTGAACCGCAACTACGACTTCGTGTGGGATTACAAGACGGCCTTCAACCTGACCGCCGCTGACGAACCCGCCTCGGACGACCCGGCCAGCGAGATCTTCTACGGCACTGCGCCCGAGTCCGAGCCCGAGACCAAGGCCGTCGTCTGGACCCTCGACCAGTACCAGAACATCACCTGGTTTATGGACCTCCACTCCTTCACCGGAGACATCCTCTACGGCTGGGGCGACGACGACGTGACCACCAACAACACCGACATGTACTTCACCAACCCCAAGTACGACGGCCTCCGCGGCGCCGTCGGCGACGACAAGTACAGGGAGTACCTCAAGCCCACCGACTTCCAGATCGAGAAGGACGGCACCTCCCAGATGATCAAGAGCATGACCGAGGTCGGCGGCGTCGAGTACGGCGCCTACGAGGCCGTCGGCCTGTACCCGACCTCGGGAGCCAGCAACGACTACGCCATGGGCCGCTACTACGGCAAGCTCGCGTGCGGCGCCAGCCGCATGTTCGGGTACACGCTCGAGTTCGGCGTCGAGAGCACCGCCGACCCTACCTGCCCCTTCTACCCGGACAACAGCGAACACCACCGCAACATGAAGCAGATTGGCGCCGGCTTCATGGAGATGCTGATCATTGCGGCCGGCGAGGCTGGTGACCCGCTGTACCTTGAGTGTTAAGCTTGAATTAACCTACTCGCTAATTAAAAATCGTAATGTGACGGTTGGAATGTTGAAGGGGACAGCATTTTGCCGCAGTATATAAGTATGTAATGAATGAAACGATTATTCTCCACGTCGCAAGTCCAACAAGCTGTGAACCAATTTTAGTTGCGCCTACCATCTGTATTCAAGTGACTTGCAATTTTTCCCTTCTCTCAGTTTGGGTCAAGCGATTGTCGCGTTAACTAGGAACAAGGCGCGGTCTTAATTCATTCATGAGCTGTGGGTCAAGCTAAATCAGCCTCTCAATCAATCAAGCCACTCGCCAATTACCGAGCAAACATTAAATTCTCTGGCCATCTTCAACCCTAGAACCGGCACAGAGGTGACATTCTTATCGATCCTTCGCAACACTGCCCCCTCGCCACCGGACAGTGAAACGCAAACGCGAAATGCCTGTAAGCAGACGCGGTAATTAATTTGTCTTCTAGTCTGCCTCGCCATAGGCACGTGATGAGCCCCTTATTTCTTTCTTATTCCCGCGCGATCGTCTCACTTGGCGATGATCAGCTCCGATTTCCCTCTTCCATGTCGTGATCGCACAAGGGCTTGGCTACGGATCCCGACCATCGCACAGTCTTAAAGGTCGAGGGTAAAGAGATCAACTTGTTTTTGATCGATTGATATATTCGACAGTCACTCCTCCCCAGCTTTTCCCCGGGCAGAACCCTCAAGACACAATGGCCGGAATCGTCAGCTTCGTCGGCTTTCTCATCTTCACCTTCGGGTTGGTGGTCCCTGTGGCGTTCTTTGTGAGTTGAGACATCCGATTGATTAGATGGCCACTTCTAACGAATAACCCAAGATGTTCTACACTGCCTACTCGGTATTCCCCATTCTCGCGGCGGTCGAGGACCTTGATGCGGCCATATACGACAGCATCAGCATCGTCGTCCCTCGAGTCGTCGACGAGGCTGAAGGCCCAACCCGTCTCGGCAAAGATGGCGGCGCCAAACCCCTCCCCGTCAGCAGCAGCCTCCGCTCCATGACCCGCCTGCTCTACTCCAGCAGACGGTGCTTCTCCTTCTGCCGCGGCTACAGCTGGTTCTTCCTCTTCGGCATCGTCAAGAGCCTCGCCCTGGGCGTGTGCGTCAAGTCGCCCCTCCTGGGCTTCCTGGCCCAGATCCTGCTCCCGCTCGCCGCCACCCACTTCCACGCCCTGTGGGTGCACTCCGTCCTCTCCACGTCGTCGAGGACGACGCACGCCTTCCAGGGCCGCGCCGTGGAGGCCGGGAGGCTCTTCAGGACCGCCGGGCCGCCCATGGCGCTGTATCTGACGTCGGAGGCCGTGGTGCAGCGGATTATGCTCCAGTACTACAAGGGCGTCGGCATGATATGGGAGGACTTCATGCCGATCGGGAACCATTTCCACAAGTCGTTCATCTTCTGGATGCTCCTTGCCGTCCTGACGTTTGTCCTTGTCGTGCCGGCGTACGTGGTTCTCGTGCGCGCCGAGGCCTCTCTGCTGCCCTCCGACGAGCAGACCCTCGTGCCGCTGGATCCCGCTCTGGAGGGCATCTCTGGGGAAGGGGTGCTGGCTCTGGTTGGGGCGTGGAGGTCCTTGACCCGCCCGAGGATCGTCAACTTGGTATTCCTTTACGTTAGGATGTTCATGATCACCGTTCCTGTCACGTTTGTGCTCGGTTTTATAGACTTTGGGTGGTGGCTTGTGATGGCTATGGATAGTTGGAGGTTTTAAGAGGTAGTGGGTTCTTAAAATCTTGATCGATACTTGGGTAATTGTAGGATTATTGGTTCTCAAGACTGCATGTTGGTTCAGATCAAGGCAGATTGATCTGCCATGCATTTCAAAGAATATGGGATCTGTAACCCCCACAAAGCAAGTAAAACTCGACGGATAAATTTTTACGGCACCCGGCGACACTGGTTCAGCTTAATTGTCAGTCGGCAAGAATTCTAACCCAAGTTTCTCTACTAAGGAAGCAGATATCTAAATACCTATCCAATGTAATATTCAAATCCCACCGTCGCTTCATGTCATGCATGCTGTTTCTAAAAAAACACCAACCAACTCTAGAAACCCACTAAAGCTTCGACCTCTTGGCTCTTCTAGCCTCCTTCTCCTTATCTCTCAGCAAACGTCTCAAGATCTTCCCGGAGGGGCTCTTGGGAATCACGGGGATGAACTCGATGCCGCCCTTGAGCCACTTGTGCCTGGCCTTGTGCTCCTCGACGTGCTTATTGATCGACTTGATCACCTCCTCCTCGGGCTTTGCGGAAGCCTCGTCCGACTTTGTGATGTACGCCTTGGGCAGCTCACCGGCACGTTCGTCGGGAACCTGGATCACAGCACAGTCGGCGACGTCGGGGTGGGTCAGTAAATGAGCCTCGAGCTCAGCTGGAGCAACTTGATGGCCCTATCAATGCCGATGTTAGACTCGATTACAATGTCAGATTTGTGTGGGGTAATGTCTCACCTTAACCTTGATCAGCTCTTTGATGCGATCAACAATAAAGATGTGCTCGTTCCCGGCCGGCGACTTCTTCACGACCACCTCATCCCCCGTCCGGATCCAGCGCCCGTCCTCGTGCCAGACAAAGGTCTCGGCGTTGGCCTTCTCGTTGTGGAGATAGCCCAGCACGACCGAGGGACCCTGGACGAGGAGCTCGCCGGGGGTGTCGTAGGCGGTGATTTCTTTCCCCTCGGGGTCGACGATCTTGGCCTTCATCGCGGGGAGGAGGGAGCCCGCCGATCCGAACCAGATATCGTGGTCGCTGGTGGATGAAACGACGGTTGCTGTTTCCGTCATACCTATTTTCCCCCTTCTAGTTAGTTCTCACCATCGAGACAAAATTTATTTTCGGGGGACTTCATACCGTATCCCTGCCCAATCTTCCACTGGGGGAACAACGCAAGCAGCTCATCCGCCGTCTCGCGCCCCAGCGGCGCAGCACCCGTGAAGACGGTGCGCAGGGAGCTGAGATCATACTTCTTGCACACGTCCTGGTGCCGCAGGAACAGGATCAGGATGGGTGGGACGAGGGCGATGGACTCGATCTTGAAGCGCTCGATGGCGGAGAGGAAGGTGGTGAGCTCGAAGCGCGGGAGGACGACGATCTCCTCGCCGCGGTAGGTGCACAGGTGGGTGACGGGGACGAGGCCGTAGATGTGGCTGAAGGGGAGGACGCCGATTCCCGCCCCAGGCGGGGGGTTGCCCTTGAGGGCGCGGGCGTGCTTGTCGAAGGACATTTTCTGGATGACGTTGGCGATTACGTTGTAGTGGGAGATCATGACGGCTTTCTGCGACGCAGAATGGTTAGGCCAATAAATGAAGAATGAAGATACTCGGCGGGAATCGACTCACGGGCAGGCCAGATGTTCCGCTGGAGTAGCAGAGGTAGGCTACCTGGCGCGCGCCTTGGCCGGCCACCCACTGGAGGGAGGGCAGCTCTGGCAGAGACTTGCCCTGCTCTATCAGGTCATCGACCGTCTTGAAGGATGTCTTGTTGTCCGCGCCGGGCACGGGGAGGAGGAAGATGCGCTCTTTGGGGATCCCCGCTGCCTCGGCCGCCTTGAGGGCATTCTCCAGCAGGGGCACGCAGGTGAAGAGGACCTTGGCGCCCGAGGACTTGAGCTGGTGCTCCAGCTCGATGGCGGAGTAGGCGGCGCTGGCAGGTGTGACGATGCCATTGAGTCTGTGGACGGCGTGGGTGAAAGGGATGTAGTCAATCTATATTTCTACCATTAGGCGAGCTGGAAACGGGCGAGAAAAAGCGACGGAGGGGGGCCAGCTCACCGTGTTCACCGAGTAGAGGCAGACGATCTTGTCCCACTCTGTCCCCTCGCGCGGGTGGAAGTTGAGCTCCTTGCTCAGCGCGCGGGCGAGATGGTCCTCGCGCGCGATGACCTCTGCGGCCGAGTACGTCTTGCCCGTGATGCCGCAGGTGTAGGGGTTCCGCGACTGGGCAATGGGGGTTCGGCCGTATTTCTCATTCGCCATGAATTCCCCGACGGTGACCGTGTCGGGCGGATCTGCTTCTGCGTCAGTGTCACTCGCACAAAACAGCGAGGCCGTGAGGGGTTACCGACCGATGAACAGCTTGGGAACCCATTCTGGGGCTGTGAAGACCATGGCGGGTGTTTCTCTGAGGTAGAAGGGATGGATGCAAGTGCGCGAGGAGGGGAGGAGGCGAGACGATCAAGCAAGCCAGCTTCATTTATCTGGCCGGTGTTGGTCTGCTTGCCGCCCCTGCACTTGCACCGCATTTTTCGAACCGAAAACCTCCTCGGCTCAATGCCAAAGACAGGAAAAGGCCCATACAATCGTGAACTAACCGTGGGGGCACCAGCAAGCATCCCCACAATCAATTCACCTCCTGCATCCATATTCCTCAGAGCCATGCACAAACAGGGTCTAGCGAGTGGCTCTTGGTCGACCGGAGTTTGGTTCTCCCCCCGCATTTGCCTCGACGGAATCCGGGGGCCAAGTCACACGCCCGAACTTGGGAGGGAGACTAGCAGTCTGGGCATGTCTTGTCCATGTCAATGCCGCGTCCATCCCAAGCCTGTCTGTGTCCGTGGTGCTTGTACCAGTGGCCATGTTGAACGCGCGGGAAATTCATCGTGGGAGGGAACAACGAGAGCTCATCGCACAAGGCGAACGGCTCGCCAGTTTTGTCTCGTTCAGGAAATGCCGCCCCGAGAGTGGTTTCGAAACACCAGATGGCATCTCGGGGCAAATCAAGTCCGTGTCTTGTGGGGTTGCAGTCCGGGGAACGGTCCTATCATGAAACAGTGTTTTGAGGATTAATAATAATGGCTGCTGGTAACAAACGATACGCGATATTCCCGATACTCCCCCCGCAAGATTCCCTGCGCTTTGTGGTGTCCTTGTGATCAATCTCTCCGCTTCTTGCTTCCAATGTTCTCAAATCCGTTCGCCTTACCCTTGATTCATATTTTCCCTCCATCCTATCCAAAACTCCGTCATCAAATACCTGTTCTTGAAAATGTGCCTTATCCAAATACCTAAAGTTGCGACTCGTGCAATGCGCATGATCGGCATATGCGCGGCACAAACGGTCGTGTATGCTCAATTATGAACTCTAAATTCGCTCATTGCACTATAAAAGTCAATTCATCGAACCCAAAACGGATATCTTATCATACATACCTTACCTACCAATTGATCTTATGATCAATTGATCTTCCCAGGAGGCCTATCCCGCGACCACACCCTCCTCCGCTTCATCCGAGCGCCTCGCTGGAGGGCGGTAGCCAAGCAAGAAAGCGGCAGTTGGGCACCACAGCAGAGCGCGCTCCTCCTGAACTGTTTGCTGCACAAAACGGAACCACGCTCTGGGGTGGCCCCTCATGCCCAGCCGCCCCCGCAGATTCGGCGTACCCGTGTCGACGCGCTCAGCACCGAGGCTGAGCAGGGTGCTCACAAACGACTGCTGCCGGGACGGCCGCACAATTGCCAGGAGGGAGTCCTGGCCCAGGCCCTGGGTCTGAGCGACGGCTATGGCCTCCAGGATGGACTGACCCCTGTACTCGCCCCATGTCGGCCGCCATCTGATCTCTGCGCCCTTCTCGATGAGCTTCCTGATGGTGACAGGATCCAGCTCATCGTCTAGACCGGGAGCTGGAATGAAAATGTCTAAAGGTGTGGACATGAATGACATATCAGGGCCATTGTTGAAGGCTTCCCGAAAGTCTTGACTGGCAAGCTTTTTCATGACGCGCATCAGAAAGAGGAACAGCAGGTAGTTCAGCTCTTCCTGGAAAGCAAGCTCGAAATTTCTTGGCGTGAGGAGAATGTCCAAGATGGCGCTCCAGCGGCGTATGATGGTCTGCTTCTGCTCCAAGGAGGGTTTAAGTCGCGTGTGTGGGACCATTCGCTGGAATAGAGGTCCCGGGTTCAACCCCAATATACTGTCTCTCCAGAGGAGGAAGGCAGGCACAGCACCTCTTGCTGCTTGCTTGCGGATGAGGATTCTCGTCATGGCATATAAATCCTCGTTCAGCAGCGACCCGAAGCCGTTGTTCTTGGTCCAAAACAACTCGAGCAGCGAATGGGGAGGCCGTTCGGATGTAACGGGGGCCTGCGTCGTTGTTTGGATGACAGCACCGTGGTGAAACAGGTATTGGAGACCCTCTGAAGCAGAAAAGGGTCCTTTCTGCTTCCTCGGGGGGAAGTCCGCAAGCACGTAGGCCCACACGGGGCTGACCATGCAGCGTCCCTCCACGGACTCCTCGAGGGACTCGAGGGCCACAGTGAGTGGTTGATTGATGTCTAGTCGAGTCGTCAAGAGCATATCTACGATGCCCGTCTCTCCAGACTCGGCCATGCGCATCGCGGCAGCAAACATTGGCACGCGTGTCGAGTATCTGTACTGCAGCATGCGCTTGTATTTTGGCCCCTGCAATGGATCGAACACGGCCAGCAATTGCCGAAAAGGTTCTCGAGAGAGTAAATACTCGGCGAAAGGCGCCGCGTCGTACCGAAGGATGTATTGGATTGCGGTCTCCAGGTCCTCGTAGCAGGGGAAGTGCCCGTACGACATGGCTTTGTCAACTGCCCATCCCTCTCCGCGAGAGCAGCCATAGAACATCAATTTTTGTCGGGAGGCCAAGGTGAAAAGCAGGATGGGCTCCCATTTGCGGTGGAATTCCTTGCTGCATTGGCTCAGTCTCGCTACGTCGCTTGGGGCCAACCAGCCTGAGATCTCCAAGCATATTTCTGGAAGAAGGTCGACATTCATCGCTGCTACTGTCGCTGTGGGCAGATAGATACGAGGCTTTTGCTGGACGCCACTCCCAATGGAGATGAAGTTGGGAGAAAGAGAAGCAGAAGGGGAAGGGGTAGAGGAAAGGAACAGGCTCTTCGGCTCGTGGTACCAGCTGAACGCGCTCAGATCGCTTGCACCCCACCGCTGAGGTCAGCGGCGTCATTTCCCCTCCTTTGTGGTGTTGAGTGAGGCTGCAGGCTGCATCAGGCCCTTTTGCATTTTGGTGCATCATTCATGCGAGAAGCTGGCCTACCTTGGATAAAACGTTTAAATGTTCTTTTCCTCCTATATAAGACTGATAGATGACTTATTTTCCTAGCGCGATGACCAACGATTAAAGTAGACACTACGGAGCAACTACCAAGGAAACGGTGGTCATAACGTTCGCTCACAATGCAACCTCCAGAGCTGAGTTCGGGAGTGCATTAGTGAAAATTAGCGTGTATCATGCTGCCCAATCAATTCTCTCGAGTTCAGGCGAGCATTATTGGGCATACGACCACCGCCCTTTACTCGACATGATTTGTAGGCGAATGAGCCCAATCAGAACCTAATCAGAGCCACGCGGCGGCTTGATAAGATCTAGAATTTACACATAATAAATCGTTACCATTTGGATTAGGGGGCGGTTTCTTGCGGGCGGGAAGGTTACTTTCCCAACCAGCCGCATCGGGATATTGTCGCCAAATGAGTTGTGTTCATTCCTGGCCCTCTTGCGTTGCCGGACATTTGTTTGTATGTATCTATACCTGGCATATTCATCACCTCAGCGTAAATATTCGATACATTCTATCATCAAGGGACGAAGCTCTAATGATCTTGCTCCTTTCCCATCAGATTACTCCTAGAATGGCAATATCCTTCTCAAGTCAGACACTGCTTATATTTCAATCCCAAAGGATTTGCTGCCATCCCAGCACTCTTCCAAGTAATCCCCGATCCAACCCTCCGTCGCTTAAACCTCCCCACAGAACCAAATCGGTCCATATACACGGTAATGTTTATCGTGCATCTAGTCCTCGGGTATCGCAACCGCCCCAGATGCCCCGCTCGGCTTTCGGCCTGGTAATAATAGCGACATGCGTTGACCAACACTAACCCAGCGTTTTCGTAGGATGCGCAGTCCGCAATACGTATTTGGATCGTAACTAACCCAATCAATAATATACATGTCAAGGTTTAGTAACGCTATTGGGAAACAATTGCATTTTCCTTACGTATGCGGTGAGCTCATCCCCCTATCATGATTCGTAGACCTAGCCAGGGCTTGACGCCACGGTGGAGGGGCTGGATCTCGTCTGACACTTGGGGATCGCTCCCTTGCACTGGTCTTATATCAGACAGGTCAGCACCTCGCGAAAGGGGATGCTACTAAAAATGAATCTATACTTAATTTCGTTATTATAATGAAGATGCCCAGAGAATTGAAGCAACCATCTCTTCCCTTTTGCTTGTCGTCACTCTGAACGATAGCGATCTCGGGATGGACCGTCGCGAAAGCCTACCCGGGTTCTTCAGGATCCCCCGCGAGATCAGAGACCAGATCTATGAAGAGCTACTGGTCCATGCGGGGTGTATTTTTCTCGATGTAATTTGGTCGCGACCTGCATCTCTGGGCTTCACATTCAACAACCGGCTCCTCCCAATCTCCCCGGAAATTCTGCGCCTCAATCGAAGGGCACACGAAGAAGCGACACATATTCTGTACGGCAAAAATATATTCCAGGTCGAGAACGTCAAAAACTTCACCCGCTTTCTGGGTGATATCGGTCCGGCGAATTCAGCGTTGCTTCGGCATCTGATAATCCCCTTTCCCTACTTCCAAGAAGATGACGGTGTCGTCGCAGTACGGGCCGATTCCATTGGCATGCAGGCAATCGACCTAATACAATCAAAATGCCCCAATATCGTTGTCCTCGAGACGTGTCTGTTCAGCAGCAACCTGGTGGAGTCGAAACTGGACGCCTTCGGTCATCCTGAAGCTGCCAACCAGGCACTGGACCTGTTGATGGACAAATTCTGTGCGGTCCCTTCTTTTCGCCACCTACGAGTCAACCTCTTTGACAAACCAGTCAGCGTCGTATTTCGCGATATTTTAAACAATTACAGGCGTGTCCTCGTCGTTACGAATATGCGTTCATCGGATTAGGGCTTCGACGGGGTACTGATTTGAGTTGGATGTGTACATTATTCGGCGTCGCTTCTTTTTTTTTTCTTCTTCTCATCGTCATGCGAGCGATGAGGCAACCTATATTGATGAAGTTTTAGTGATTGTGTTCATAATAATAATCTTATTAATGATAATAGTCAGCCTCGTCCAAATGGCTCCTCCGAGTGAGGCTGCAGTGTCGGCACAGCTTCAAGTTGTGCCTTGTAGTTGTCGCAGAAGTTAGCCGCGTGAGATGCCAAAAGACGGGGCGGGTTGTAGACCAACTGGCCTAGACACTACTTCAGGTAAACGACGAAGTCCGCTGCTATGATGTGTTTTTTTTTACAAGTGATCATCCATGAAATCTTTGGCTGCCAGAAATTCCGAATTCCTTATGAACCGTGGCGGCGGCAGAACGCAGAAGCTCCGGTGCTATATCAAATGCCTTGGCAATTGATCTCGTGCTGTCATCAAACATGAAGGGGATGGCATTGCGAGGGATTCATTCCGGGCGCTGGTAAGTGCTTCAAGCTAGCAGGCGTCGACAGAATCTGGACCAGCTTCGTTCGGAATGGACGAGGTGTAACTATCAAGGGTCAACGCCCGCATATCATCTAGGGCCCGGGAGGAATATTGGACACTCTTCTTCAAGGAGCCAGTCGTATCCATTCGTTCGCTAATTAGGATCACAAGGTGGCGAGACATCATATCGATAGCTACGGAGGTTAGTATGTCAGTAGGGAGACTTTGTCGCATCGTTCAAACAGCAAATACTTGGCTTAACTCTAACAGCGTTGATGCGGACGGTTACAAGCCCGAGTCTGAAACAATCAGCCATATCTAAACCAGCAGGGGGCCGACGAACCATTTACTGAGCTGCAACTGCACTGTCGCTTGAAGTGTGATGGGTCCTAGGCTCTTGGAGAGGGTAGAAAGCGCCGTGAGTCCATCCCTCCTAGGTCGACCAGACGTTGCTGCAGTTGAGTATCCGAAAGTTGCGCCATTCACTGTGGTTCGTTCTACCCAAAATAGTGTGGCCCCTGCTTCTCGAAACTTTCTCGCGACGGTCGAGTCGAGTCGGTTGGTACTTTGGCTCCCAAGAGCGTATAGGGTCCGGGTTGGTGTTTTTTACGCTGTTATTTGTAAGGATCTATCCAGTCTGAGAATATTTTTAGCAAAGGAAGCCGAGAGTTTGGGCCGGAAAGTCAAAAGAAACATGTAGAACAGCAATCTTACCGTATCTTTGATCAAGAAATCCCATGTAGAGGATCACCAGATCAACCACAGCGCATGTAGATGTGTTAGATATAGCGAGACATATCAAGAATTCTCCCCAATGAGCGCCTATTGTCAAGCATGGAAGAAATGGACAATGAATCTAGATGTTTCTCGGTGACGGCGGACATTCCTAGTTGATTTCATGATCCGGGCAATGCAAATCCAATCCATTTTGGGATCAGCAATCTTCCGGGAGAATTCGAGTAAGGTGGTAAAGCGGCTAGCCTGGAGGGTGAACGATTGAGAATTAAGACGCCTTGTAAGAGTCTCAACGTCTTCTTCGGTATGAACTTCTCTTCGATCGCGCTGGAGAGTCGGCATTGGCTGATTCGGTCCTGTTCGCTCAACCTACCCTCGTCGATTCCAACCAGCCCTAGGCTGGAGCTGGGAGTGCTCAGAATGACTGGAGAAGAGACTGTCAGATCATGTTCAGCTAGAATCTCGTGAAATGCCAGCCGTGTAGAGCCTTCCAGCTACGAGGTGAAGGATTAGGGAATCTGACCATCAGCTGTCCTACCACTCAGTTGGGGAAGAAAGCAAAATGCAGAATGTCGCGTTCGTTGCTATCAGAGAAGAATGCTGTCGTTGGAGAAGTTATCTGGCGCAAGAGGCTGGACGGAGGCGATTTCTTCAGCAATATCGAGGATGGAATCTGTCACCCGCGGCCTTGCACGGCTTCACAGGGGTCAAGGAGGATGATTTGCTGTTGTCTTCTTGGAAATGGGGGCGGGGCACCGCTCATCGTGTCTCCAGCAGTCACTGAGGCTACATGCCTCAGGGTACTTGCTGTCGAGCTGTGGGTACTTCCATTTGTTAGACTTATGTGCTTAAGGGCGCAATTGGAAAAGCGCAGAGATGTGCCTCAAAGCTGCATAGAGGTACTCCCTTGCGACCCATCCCTGAGCTAAGAAGCGGTCGTGGCATATCGGATCCGCAGGCAGGCTGCCAAGGCGATCATAGAGGGGATATTTAGAAAGGCCAAAAATAAGCGTATCGACCAGTTTACGCGTCTCTGGGTATTCGGATTTTTTGCTGCCTAGGTACCAGTCTACAAGCGATATACGAGCCCCTTTCTTCAAATTCGAACGTTTCGACAACTGAAATAGTGACGATAAACCATAACTCGCGTTCCCAAATCTGCATGTTCCTCCGCGCCTATCGTCAGCCTTGACTTTTGATGTTCATTTTGTTCATTCGAGATCTTAAGATAAGCACACCATAATCTAGGCCATTCAGTCTTCGGTCTGTAGACTTTTAAAGTAATCAGGCACTATAAAGGCTGGTGTTGCGACACATCTACTGGAAAGCGATGGATTACTCAAACTCTGGGCATCAACGAGAATCACTTTCAGGGAGCAAAAAGACAAGATCTGGGTCACTGAAAGCCAATAGTGTCTTCTCATGTCCATTTGATCTACCCGAGGAGTCCAGATACCTGCCAAAGCGCAGGATGATTGGAGTTTGGACAAGAACATTGTCTCTGCATCCCACGCGCTGCTTTTCCAGCAAACAACGCTCGCTATCTACGCTTATGATGGATAGTTGTCCGCCAACCCTTGAACATGCTCTTTGATATCATCTCCTATGTCACCAATAAATATCATTTGCAAGCCTGAAAAATTTGTCTGAGCTGCTCATCTCCAGACGCTTCGTGCGAGGGTTGCTCAAATTCGTAAACATCTAGGGTAGGCTACCATCATGTGTCCGGAGCACTTCGTTGAACGAAACCTCAACGCGCAGATATTCGTGGCCCATGGATTTAGTGAACAATCTAGGAGCCCGCTCGATATAACTTCTCCAAGTCCATGGAGGCGATATATGTACTCACGTAGATACAAGACCCTGTCGCGGAGCTTCTCGCCTTGCCTTCGTAGGCCTTCTACCCGAGCACTCGCTTGATCTCAGGCTTTTTCGTCCCCAGTTACCGGTTTTCCCAATATGCTTCGGTTGATCTTGGGCTTCGTCTTATATCTTAGTAGTTTGAATGTGTGGGATTCAAGAAGTATTAATTGCCGTACTCAAAGTGAGAACTTGTTTGCCTGGGCCGACCGAGAGGACATTACGGAAGATCAACAAGATCCCTCTCTTGCTTCAATCTCACGACGATTTCTAGACGAATTTAGCTTCATTAAGACGCGAGGATTACCTTGAGACATTTTGCACTTCTAGACGCCATCAGCTTTCGTCTGCAACTCCTTATTGGAACGGGGAGCACGATATCACTAAATGTTATCGTTCCCGTGCCCTTTTCGCGCCTACAGACTCGGCCTCACTGCCAGACATACGAAGCTTCGCTCTCGAATAATTACTTGATAATCCAGCCTAGATGCTGTTATCCATACCAGCCCGTCGGTTTGATTTACCTGTATTCTGACCAACCAAGGCAAAGGAGTCAGCTCTGCTGGTAAAATCCACTCATCCTCTTCTGCCTGGCTTTACTCCAAGTATCTCCTGTTCCGATGTCCCGATACCACTTAACTGGCAATGCATTATTGGACACAATTACTTTAGCTACGATCGCTGCCACCACATAATCGAGCTACCTTAGCCCTCAATCCACAGCCATGCTCTGTGGGATCACTCTGAATCCGTTCTTCCCCTCGTTGCCCCCCGTGACCACTCCACAAAGCAGAGACGGTGAATCACCTGAGGGCATTGATATCATAACAACCCCCCGTGCCGATAGCCGATCAGACTCGTCGCGGTACGTGTTCAAGGACCCACTCAAGGGTGTGCCTGATCGGAGGGGCCCATGTAGCAGATCGATCTCTGCCCTGGCCCGAAGCCAGGGTAGTTTTAGACATTTGGGATTAGAGTATTTGCAATATTTTAAACTACGACCTGATGGAGTGTCCATTGGCATTATTAATATACCCATTTGTCTGAAGTGATCGTGGGGTTGGAGACAGAGTTGGGCAGCAGGGGCGAGCAGGCAGTTTATGCCCACCATGTAAACACTCACATACACTGGGGGAACTGTGCGTACGAGCACCTACAAAGGTACGTACTTACCTAGAGAGAAGCATGTGGAAGGGCACAGAATACAGTAGTGAGGGAAATGTGAGGCAGAGGCCGGGCCTGGAAGAAGAGGGAGTGGGCGGGAACGGGGGAACCGCGAGCAAAAGGGGGGGGATCTCGGGGGCAAACGCGGGGCACACGCGAGCAAGAATCACAACACGCTCAGAGTGAATCGCAAGGTGAGAGAAAAGTGAGAAAAGGCAAGATACAATGCCAATGTACCTGCTTGATGCCTCAGGTACACGTTCTGAGACGCCTTTAAAAGGCAGCTCGCTCCTCGAGCTCTGTTATTCTTTCTTTTCTTCCTTTCACATCCTCACATCTTCCTCGATAACTTGTTTTTTCCAAGTTACCATCACCCTTCATCCTTGACCAACTTCCATCCTTGACCCACTCCCATCCTTGACCCACTCCCATCCTTGACCCACTCCCATCCTTCACACATGCGACGACGCATACATCGACGACACATACATCGACGACACATACATCGACACACATACATCGACGACACATACATCGACGACACATACATCGACACACATACATCGACACACATACATCGACGACACATACATCGACACACACTGATATCGATGACACACATATCTGAACGACGACACATACATCTGGACGACGACACATATCTGGACGACGACACATACATCTGGACGACGACACATACATCTGGTCGACGACACACATCAACGACACACATTCTTGCGACATCACCGACGACCCAAGACAAGAAGACATCACTCGACCAGAGCTTTCTGCACACGCGTAAGTAACAACACAACTTGGCATCACCTTGATGCAATCTCTTCTGACCATTCCACACAAGACAAATCTCATTCAACACTTCCTCAAAACCAAGACAAGAAAACATCATTCGACAAGAAGATTTCCCAGACACGTAAGTAACAACACAACTTGATTTCACATCCACATCCAAACTCTTCTAACCTTTCAACAAAAGATGCGTTTCCCATCCGACAAACCAACACACACACACACACACACACACAGTCCCATCACTGTCACCTTGGTGTAAGTATCCCTGACGCTCAACAGCTCCTCCTTCATGAACGCTGTGACACATCTAACAGCCCCTCAGGTCAGAAGCGTAAGGCATTCAGGATGATGACATCAACGGACGAGTCCTGGTGCCGGATCCTATAGGTAATTGGGCGATGACGCCACAAGGTTGGCTAGCCGGTTGCTTGGGCACCCAAGCAAACCTCGGCCTTGCAGGGCTCTTGTGTGTCGGCCAGAGAGATTCGGTAGCTCGAACCGTCTAACACTCCATCGGCCTCCATAGTACGGCTTCTCTGAAACGAGGGCGAGGTCCCTGCGTTGTCCGATTGGCGAGAGAGGGCATGCTGGTGGGAGCTAGTCTCCCTTGGTGTACATCCGGTACGACCGTTGGAAACGATGATAGACCTCCGCGTCTTGATGTTCTTCGGGCAGCATGCGCCCTGTCGGGGACTGTGTGGACGGTCCTTGGCGCCTTGAGCAGCTGAGTGGCGTGGCAACAAGCATACCTTTCGCTGGGTGAAGTTAGGAACTGGGCACAATCCTTGTGTAGGAAAGGCACTACTTGGGTGAGATCCACGTAGTCAGGGCTGCTGCGGTACACAAAAGCCTGGGTGGGTGGGACGCGCTCCGACATTTTGGGCGCGGGTTACTTATAGTTGTTGGAGGAGGTGGGCGTCTCAGCATCTCAATCATCTCATGGTAAGTTGTTTCTTTCTCTATCTCCTCTCTTGTTTCAATTGCGATACTGATTTTTCTTGCCTGACCTTAGAATTCACGTGGCACATCAAGTGGTATCAAGACAATTTGTCGGGCATGGCGGGTGTCTCATCACCTCACGGTAAGTTCTTTCCTCATCCACTCTCTTCTCCAATTGCGATTCTAATTTTGTCAACGCTCAGTTTTTTTTCCCAGTGCGAGTGGAAATGGACTGATGGGTTCATGCTTGGTGGTCGTGGAAGTAAGATGGAACATGGTGAGACAAAATGATCAGAAGGAGACTTGGCACAAATGGGGCAAAATGTTTAGAGTAGAATGATTCTCCTGTATTGGTAGATCAGAGCAGATCAATGGATGTTGGCGTTTCTCAAATGGCCCAATTCCGCAAATAAACACGCTTCAGGCGCGAGAATGTCACAACATGAAGCTCGTCTGGAATAAAATGAAAATTTTGTGAGATTGCGCTTGGGCTTGTGACAACTGCTCGCTGCCTTGGTTCACATCCCAGGTCTTCATTCTAATTTTCCCACATCTTTTCGCTTCTTCTCTTCCGTCACTTGCTGCCTTTTATCCAACCTCTCTCGTGATCTTGGCTGCCTGTTTTCATCCTCGTGTTTACTGGCCGCCATCGCGTTCAATAACAACCAAGTTTGGAGGCGCGTGTCAAGCAAAATACTCCGTCGGGTCTCTCCATCCTCCCCACACGCCCAGAAACTCTCAATATTTCAAAATCATTCGCAAGAACTGGAACTCCAAATTACCATTCGCTAGAACCCAAAGCGCGATCAGCAGCCCCTCATCGGCCTCAAACTCTCAGTGCTGTGAGGCTCCATTTACATTGCGGCTCAAGGCCCCCCTGCCGATCAGTGGATCAACCCCAACGTCTCAGTGGTGCCACCCACCAACTGCCGGCGCTCCGACCCCTGAAGATCTCAGATTTAGGCCATCTAGTGGCACTAACCGCATCCATTAACCTTGAGTTCCTCGACCCCGCGCTCCTCAATTGCCACTCGGTTTGCTACACGGTACGGTGCGCTCACGCAGGAAGCCTTTCCCATCGTACGGGCATTTTCTTAATGGTGACACCTTCTCCAGACGGGATAAAGAGAGATCGAAGATCAGGGAGGGTCAGTTGCTCTCTGTCCTCTCCATCGAGCTCCATCGTGCACAGCGAGTCAACTAGGTAACCGACGATCATCTAGACTTCTCGTCCAATGGCCTACTCTGTTTAGTCTCGCTCAGCGACAATATGCCGCCAATCCCCAGGGCCTTCAGCTTCAGAAGATGCGATTTCTCTTGGTTGCGCAGGCTCATCATGTGATCCAGGCTTGGAGGACGACGAGGTCTGAGTTGAATCAGATCAAAAATAGCGCTCATCATCCATCATGAGGCAGATGCCGCAAGAAACCTCGACTTATGGGTATTCGTTGACAGACCACAGCAGAGACCGTGCAGGATGAAGGCCGTGAAGACCACAATCCGTCTATTTCAACTGAGCAAGGTTACTTTCACAAGGACATTTCATCCCTTCAATTCTCTGTCTGGCATTATATCTAACATGAAGGCAGTATTTTGAAACATTTCGAAGATCATCCCGAGATAGGTCTCCTGCCCTCGACAGCCACCGATGGGCTAGATTTCCACGACTAAACGACCCTCGGTAACCTGGCTTCTAGAACCGCGCTCGGGCTACTGGAGGCGCATACATACGGCCCTAGAATTGATGCCATTTGCCAAACAAAGAGATCAGCACCCGGCATCAATTGCGCACTACCCATGGCGTTTGCAATACCGCGAGCTCACGAGTAGCGGCTCGCCAAGAGACTTTTGGGGCGTTCTCTCGGCTTTGAAGACCATTTAACATCCTCAAAATAAGATCTTGTCAGTGGCCCACTATCTCGATGAGATTTACTTTGCTAGGAGCCGAGCGCTACACATGTCTCTCTTTTTCCAACTTTGGTTTCAACCCATGGTGTATTTTAAATCCAAATCATTAGATGCTTTTGACAGACTATAACAAATTAAGGCTCAAGTACGAAAGACCGGGTTCGTGTTCTCACGGGGGACATTTGCCAAATATCCGTCATGAGGTAGGAGAAACCTCTCTGATTTAGACCCGGTGTTGGCTTGCCCATGATGCGCATGCAGCAATTTTTGGCCACAACTAGCCCATAAATGCAAAACTCAACGAATTCTCCATCGCAGAGGCTTCCTGAATTAGATGAGAATTCAATTTAAATACTTGCTTTGAGCACAGTAATCAAATTTGACGGGATTTTGAGCAAAGCGGGTTAGATTTTGGTGGCGAAAAAGATGGATGAATCTGTCATGATCAAATCTACGTCACGCCTCGCGCTCATCGGATTCCCGCGGACCTCCAGAATCCTCAAGACCCAGTAATCGACCTAGCAATTGCCAAAATAGGGCATGTGGAGCAGGTTGTAGATCTGATATTCCTGGAACGATGACAAACTTCCGAGGCGGAAACGCGCGGATTTCCAGGCCCACGCATGTGTGTGTGCCTACCCTATAGTCTGAGCCTGCTTTGACAAATCCAATCCATGACCAAGTATCCAGTGCATTCTTGGGTGTTTTGTTAATTAGTGTGCATACGAAAACTTCATCGGATTCAAGTGTAGAGCGAAAGTTCCGAGGCCGACATCAATTAGGCCTATAATTACCATCATTGTGCCTCTCTAAACATGATGTCACAGTAAACAAGAACCATCAAACAACAACATCCATATACCGTCCAGTTACCTCCGGCACTATGACTTCTGCCTCAAACGTCCTCATCACTGGCACCAGTGGCTTCATGTGAGTTTTCCCATCTGCTGGTCATTGATAAAAAATATCTGACATACATGACTCAACAAGTGGTGGCTCCCTCCTGGCCGACCTACTCGCTCGTGCCGACAGCCCCATCAAAAACGCCAAGTTATTCGCCGCGGCTCGATCTGACGAGCAGGTGAAGAGCGTATCGAAACTCGGCATCAACGTGCTCCAGGTCGATCTCACGGATGAGAAGTCAGTCCTCGACGCCGTCGTGAAAAATGAAGGTATGTTTAGCTCGCGGACGCGTTGCTTGTGACTCTAGCTAATCTTCCGGCATCCAGTCGACATCGTCATCCACACAGCAGGCGCTATTCTCCCCCAGATGGCGACCAACCTGATCAGAGCCCTCGGCGAACGACGCCGAGCCAGTGGGATCGAGACCCATTATATCCATGTGCGTCTCCCACCATAGCCCCTTTTTAGGCTTGCTTCGCTGACCATAACGGTAGACCTCAGTCGCGACCATGTTTTCGGAAGAGGGGAGCTGGCCCTACGGCCAAGTCAAGGATTCGGATGATTCTATAATCGAGAAGCAAAAGGAAATTGGAGAATCGAATCCCGTGCGCAAGGTGAGCCAAACATGCTCGATGAATTCGCAGGCCGCTATTTGCTAACATCAGCCCAAGACGAACCTGATTGTAGCGGAGCTGGGGAAGGCCCAGGGCGTGACAACTTACAATGTCCCCGTGCCGACAGTCTGTGAGTGCAAATCCCAGCTATGCCTCTTTGTCAGGGTTAGCAGCTAACCTCTTACTAAACAATAGATGGAAGAGGCACCGGAGAATGGAGGAAGCTGTCCGTGAATATCCCTGCGATCACTAGAGCTAGCATGAAGCTCAAGACTGTCTACAAGTTTGAGAAGGATGGCGTAGGTTTTCCTCACAGGCTCTATAATAAAACATTCATTCATTCAAGTACTAATCAGGTTGCAGAACCCCCCGGCGATCCATATTTCCGACCTGACGGCCCTCTACGGTGCCATTCTGGTGAAGATCCTGCTGAAGGAGGCGATCCCAAGCAACGACAAGGGCTACTACTTCGCAGTGGCCCATAAATCTCCCTGGTGGGAGGTCATGGAGCGTCTTGCTCAGAGTATGCACGCTCGAGGTCTCGTCTCCGAACCGACCGCCAAGGTCTGGCCCAGCTGGGAGATGGCGGCTGAGCACACAGGGTTCCCGCTGGTCTTTATCAAGGCAATTGGCACCTCCAGGTAAGTCGTCTTTCAGGGGTAAGGCTTGGATACACTGATCTGATTCTTTCTTAGTGGAGATCTTGTCGCCGTAAATGGGCCTAAGATTGGATGGCAGCCGAAGTGGGACGAGAAGATGTACTTGGAGAGCATTGACGACGAGGTCCAGGCCGTCTTGGATCTAGACACCGTGAAGATGACGCTCTGGGACTCATTGTAATGTTTGGGCGTGGACAGCTTGGAAGAGGCTTCATAGAACTAAATGAGTTCGAGGTGTTGCCATGCAAGAAGAAATATGACTTTGTGCTTCTCTACCTCTATTTAATAGATAGTCCCTGGATATCACGGCTCATCAAAGGCCATATCCTCAACGTTGATCTCCTCGTCAATACTCTTTTTCGGCCACTGAATCCACTCATGCCAGCACTGATCCAGCTCGCGCTCGACCATGTCGATTACACATCTGCTCCATCCCTGGCTCACCCAGTCGCGATGCTCAAAAGGTCGCCCATACGCAGCAAAGTGCGCAAGAATAATAAGAGCAATATGATTCCCCTGGCCCAACAGCTCGATGAAGATCAATGGCAACGTGATGGGCCACGACCATATCGCAGACTGTGCATCCACCGATGAGAAGGCGCACACCTGGTAGGTTGTTCTCAAAGATTCCAGCGCCAGGATGCATGACGACTGCTCGTTGAGCACCTCCATCGATCGGGGGAGCTCTCTTGCTATGGTCGAGATCTTGTCCAAACGCCGTGTGAAGGCGCTCGAGCTGGGAGGCTGGCTCGAGATGTTATCGTATGATTGGAGCAACGAAGCGAGGGGGCCGCGCTGTCGCCATTCCCCGAGAGGCTTGTAGTCGAGTATTCCCTTGACTCCTTGCAGGAGCATGAAGGCCTGACAGACATGGTCCGGCGTAAGCGGTTTCACGGGGTGAGGGGGATGGGTAATGTGACAGAGGCTGAGCGTGAAGATGAAGGAGGCGAGGTAGAAGTACGCCTCGCAATTCTCCTCGTCGATGTCGCTTAGGCGGTCTGCAAAGTAGCGCAGGGCGAGGCTCTGGTAGTGTGTTGAGACGACAATATACTCGGTGTGCTGTTGGGGATACATGTGCGCGTAATGAAGAGCCGACACGGCTAGAAGCCCGTGCATTAAGAACTCCTTGATGATTGTCAGCCAATGTGTCTTGTCTTCGTCTCGCCTCTATCAACCCCTCACGACCGATAAATCTTGCTGTTTCCCGCAACTTACATGTTGGCAAGCAGTCTTTGGAACCGTTTCTTTCCAGAGTTCCTCGGTAGCTGAGCGGGAGAGAGTTTTGTACGTGTGATTGCAGTAGTGCTGCATGAGCAGGAGGCTCTGCATCCACTGGGCAGGTATCTGGTTTCCATGCTCTTGGTCTTGGAGACTCGGCCACACACCATCAATGTGTCCTGGTGAATAAAGTCATAGTCAGCGATGCGTGCCAGTATGTCGTTGCGTACTTGATGGGTTCCCCACCTGTGACATTGTCCCCTTGCTGAGGCGAAGCAGCCTCAGTCGCCGTTACGTCTGTGAGAACGAGGCTCGGCGCCTCAACGGCAAGAGGGCTGGCACTGACGGAGACGGGCGTCTGAGCCTGTTGCGGCAGCGGTGGTTCAGAGGAGAGGAGGCTACACTGAACTCCGTGTCGGATGCAGTGCCCACACGGGCGTTTCTCATCGCACTGTCGCGGACGTCAGCGGAGGAACAGGGGCAGTTCCACATGCAATCCGTCAATTGACTCGTGTCGCGGGGACAATCGGATTGGGGGCGGCTCACCTTGACCCGCCGCGCCTTGCAGCGCAAACACCCGTTCCTGGATTTCTTGTGGCCAAGCCGCTTGTGCCTGGCGGGAGACATGCCCATCTGATTTGACGATGGTGTTGGGAGGGATGAAGGCGATAACGAGGCAAGTCTGATTGCTATCCGAGGCGGGATTGGGGAAGAGGCGCAGGCGGGTGCTCGGGTTCGTTTCGGTTATGAGGTCATGCGTGTGGCCGGGGTATCACTCATTCAATTGGGATGAACTGGTTGCAAGGCTCTCTTCCAAGTTGTTTCTCGCGGGTTCTGAGATTTGGCCAGGTTTCATGCCCACTTGATAGTAATTTTGTCTAACCTCGTACTCGTTGATGGTATCTCACTGACGAGAATCATACAGAGCGTACTTACGGATACGAACCCGAATGCGACAACGGCACAGAGGCTTTCAATTGACTGAGTAGATTGATTGAAATGCAGTTTGGTATTGATTAGCTAAATTAATTCTTCTAAATAACATTCTCCAATTATGCTTTTAGAGCCGATATGGCTCTACTATCTACCAGAGGTGATGATGTCTTCACCCTTTGTTCATTTTTTCAATCTAGACAGCCAATGGGCAAAGATCCTCAGTGCTCAAGACACTCATCTTGCGGATCATCTTACCAAAAGCCTCGGGGTTCGTCGACAGATGGGTGAACTCCTCAATGATTTCTGGCAGATCGTTGCTGCTATCCGAAGACTGGCGTGATTTGGCCGCCAGGTTCTGCGCCTGCCACAGCCCAGCCTCGACGCTGGCCCTGCGCAGCGCGGTGGGATCCTGCATGGCGAGGGTCGAGAGCCTGCGCAGGCGCTCGTACCCCTGGGGGTTCTCCATGGCGAACGTGTAGACGTCCCTGCACATGTCCTGGATGCCGAACTCGGCCGCCCACCCGAGCTCGCTGGCGGCCTTGTCGGTGCTGGCAGTGACGGTGCCGAGATCTCCAGGCCTCGCATCGGAGATGGCGAAGGGGATCTCGCAGTCGGCCGCGTTGGCGAAGGCCTTGATGATGTCGAGGACGCTGTAGCCCTGGCCAGTGCCCAGATTGTACACTCTGTAATTGTTGGGGCTGGTCGGTGTCTCCTGGCTCGCCGCAGACGCCACTGACGCTCTCCGGCCATTCTGGGCCTGCTTGTTGACGTACATGGATCGGAGAGCTGCCAGGTGGCCGCTGGCGAGATCGCCGACGTGGATGTAGTCACGGACGCCGGTGCCGTCGTTGGTGTCGTAGTCTGAGCCGTAGACGTACACCCTGCTCCGTCGTCTTTGGTAGGCCTGGAGAATGACAGGGACGATGTTGTTTGGAGTGCCCTTTGGCTCCTCTCCGATCAGCCCGCTGGCGTGAGAACCCGTGGGGTTGAAGTATCGCAGCGAGACCACTTCAAATTCTGGGTTCGCGATGCAGCAGTCATTCAAGACCTCCTCTGCCATCCACTTGGTTCGACCGTAAGGGTTGGTGACGAGTCCCGAGCCGACGCCCTTGCCGCCGACTTGGACAGAGTCCTCTGCGATATTTGCCTCTTTTCCAGATCCGTAGACAACGGCGCTGCTGGAGAAGACCATGCGGGTGACCTGAGTCATGGACATGGCATCAAGGAGGTTCAACAAACCTGTGATGTTGTTCTGGTAGTACTGCAGCGGTTGGCTCATCGAATCTCCCACGGCCTTCAGTGCAGCGAAGTGAACCACGGCAATGATTTTACCCCGAGGCAAGTCGGGCACCACGTCTGGTAGGTCAGCCGGTTCTCCGTTAGTGTTAATCGGATAATCGCGAGTCTTGTATGACGCGCCATCAACCTTGGAAGCAATGTCGACGACATCAAGCTTCATGGAGAGGACTTGAAGGTCGGGGTTGGGAGACTGCCACAGTTGGAAGGCATTGATGACGCGAGAGCGGTTTCGGAGATCGACATTGCAGAAGAGGAGGGGCGCGAGGTTGCTGGTGTCCTTGCCAAGTCTGACCTTCTCATGCTTGTAGATGTGGTAGACACGGAGCAAAGCCTCCATGTGGCTGTTAACGAGGTTGTCAATGACGACGACTCCGCATCCCGTTTTGAGGATTTCCAGGACGGTGTGAGAGCCAATGTAGCCAGCTCCTCCCGTCACGAGGATGAGAGGAAATCCCTTCACCTTCTCTCGCAACTTATACAGGTTGACTACCGCAACCGGCATATTGGAGAGATTGGCATCAGTTATGGTGGTCCCACGAGTAGTAGACATTTTGGATATGGCAACCACCTAGAGAAATTTCTTATTGATTTAGTAAAAGGGAAATGACGAAGTCCACGGTAAGGGGCAACGACGATTCTACTTAAATATCCTGGGTGGACGTATTTTGACCTGCATCCGGTATGCCATCTCGACCTGGAGGTTGAATCGATCTCGGCTCTCGGCTCTGCGAGGCTGAATCGAGGCTAATCGAGGATCTCCCTCTCTAGCCGCCAACAAAATATACTTTGATTTAGAAAAAACCTCTGAGAGTCGCAATCGGAAACAGAAGGAATGCCAGAGACCAAGAGCACAGACTGGTTCGAACTCTCCATCATTCCAGTTCATTCCAGCCAATCGAGGCGCATGGACGGCGTCGAGACTAGACCACCTCGATGCGCCGGTTGGCTAGAGATGGCATGCGATGATATCTTCGTCTCTTCCTTTTTCGTTCCTTTCAGACTTACGGTTTGGTTGTAGACGGGGAGTAAGAATTGACCCAGTGACCAACAACAGTGTGATGGTGAGTGTCTTACATCTGCATCCGGTCACTATTTCTCGCCCCGGGCCGTCAATTAAGATGGCAAGGAGTTCCCAGTATGTCATTTTGCTGAAACATGAGTTCAAATATCTGAAACCATCCATTCATTCACAGTGATAGGACAAGCCGAAACAGCAGACGCTTGTGTCTCGTACGAATCGTATCAGGACAGAAGCGGACAGTTCACGCCCAGCGATACTAAGACGTTTTCATCATAGCAATACTTGTTTGAATTGCACTGTGGTAAACAAAGAATGCCGCCCCCAAACATTCTGTTGTGTTTGGTAGGTAATTGAGTCACCTGTTCAATCTTAGAGAAGCTCACTCTAGTTTCGGCCCCGAGAGGAGAAATGGATGTGCTAGTTGGCGGAGAATATTTGCAAATAAGGTGTATCTTGCTTCTTTCAGTTAGCATATCTCCGGTAAGCATCCGATATCCAATAGTTCTTATTCATGCAACACACTAAGTCTCAACCTAGCAAAAGCTAAACCCTTTGTTCCGGCATTAGTGCACGTAGATCTACAAACATTCCAAGAGAATTTATAGAACCAATTCGATTCATATACTCATCCGGCTTCAAAGTTCAAATATTTTCGGCGCCATCGGGGGCGAAGGCCGATTGAATTCCACGCCATCGACTACCATTCTCCCATCAGGCCGAGGCATCAAGATCAATATCTAGTAAAGGCGCGCTGCATTTTTCAAACTATGAGGCGGCCTTGTAAGTTACATGGAGTCAAGAACAATGCTCTCCTGAGTAAATGTCCAGCTAGATCAATAGATTAATTACATTGTCTTAATATCTCGAACTACTCGGCAAGGACACTTTCATTACCTCTTTTATCAAATGGATGCGAAAGTTTAGTATGTTAATTTTGTTAATGATAGCCCAATAGAAGCCTAGGAATGCTCAAGTTATCCTGGGCGGCTTCATTCAGCCAAACTCAAAGCTTCCTCATGAACCGTGACGTTTATGTTGACCACACTATGAAAGCTCTAGGCATGGCCAATAATATCGGCAAATAGGTTACTTCTCACTCAGTTTTTTCGAGGGTCACGCCCTTGAAATTCAGATACACGTGCCAACCAACTCGCAACGATTCGTCCGCCAAGCTCTCCTATTGCCGTGCCGAGATTTACGACACCGATTGCTGCGTGGTATTGCGCACAAGGCCTCGATAAACACTATAACGAAAGACATATTGGTTTCATTCCAAATCTGCTCAGCTGCCTTCGCTCTGACCATTGGTGTTCCACTGCATTCGCAAGATGCATCACATGTCTGATTGGTGGTACCCTCGGCATGCGTCCCCTCAGCATGCGGAGGCATCAGCTGCGCAGAGTTGAGTTTGTGAGATCTGACACAATCGCCTCGAGATGATATGCAGCTTACAAACCCCGGTTCACGTGTTCTGTCAACTATGTATGCAAAACGCCGATCCCTCGGTGTGGCTTTAGTCTAGAACGCTTCTGGGTGATTGCCTGCCGGGATATTCGCCCAACGACCGGGAAAAGCAGCTGCGCACCGTTTCAGGGGATGCGACCAAGATTTTCTTACTTCTCTCAGCCTTTGGGGCGGTGATTTGGCGTGAGTTTACCGCGGCAAGTCGGAGACGGATTCTTTGGAGCTACCCTGCATCTGCGTCTGCATCTGCAGTTACACTTTGTCGCTGCCAGCATACACACATATGCGGGTTCGTATTTCCGGATGAAGTCGACTTTCCTCAATTGGAAGGACTCCAGGGGCAATGCGCAAGTGAATACGAGATTGGAGTAAACCTTCTGTACTTAAAAGGGCCAGTGTTGAGGCTTTCATAGACGAGCGCATGGGATTTGCTGCATATGCCATGCGAAATTTACAAATTCGCTTGCGACGAACTGTTGGTCTCTCCTCTTGGGTTACCCCTACCAGCCATTGGGTAGCCTCTGACTCTCGTCGCGTCCAATGAGACCTGCCTAACCAAGACAATCGAAGATAATTCGCTCATCGCCATGCAACCGGCTATTTGTACCTCTACTGGCTTTAATTTGTTCGTCTCGTGTTCTGCGACTTACCCTGTGGCCATCGCGGCGCATTGAATTGTATGCGCATATGTTGGCTTAGAAGCAAAGACAAGGCCTTTAATATTAAACGGCGGCGGCCGCCAGAGCAAGCACACATGCTCATTCATGCGGCCAACTCGAATAATTGTCTCAATGGACCGCGGAACAAGGCGAGACAGTCCTGCTTATCGGCATCGTGAATGCGTTTGTTCCAATCGGGCTTTCTTCGGATTCTATCTCCAAATCACAGCAGGACGATCCATCAGCCACGAGGCGGGACTAACACGCTTCTGGTCTGACCAGGAAAAAAAGTCACCTCCAATGACGGAATTCGTGCAATGGATATCCAGCGCACTAAGAGGTCGCGTGTCCCAACCGGGATGCTGCGACTCTTCACAGACTACCACCTGTCTACTCACATATCATATTCGCAGTGACGTGTTCCGGGACCGGGACGGGGGAGCTGACCACCCTTACCCACTCTTTGAGCTGTAGCGACCGAGTTGCCGACAAACACCTGGGTCCCGTCCCCGCCTATTTATACGGGCAGGGTCGCCAATTGTCCCTGGACTGTTGGCTCATCCACGCGGATCTGCTCTGCGCTTCTTCCCGATCAAGATGAATATGACATTGAGAGCATTTTTGGCCGCGGCGAGGGCGGCCTTGACAGCTCCTCCAGCCGAGAGAACCCTCCCGCTCACCTTTGTGGTCGGCAATGAGTCGGCAGGTAAAGTTGGGACAGGCATCTCCGGTAGAAATAACCGCCTAACATTTCTTGCTAGATCTGGATTCCCTCTGCTCCGCCGTCGTCTACGCCTACCTCCGTACAAATGGCAAGCAGCAGTCCCTCCACATCCCGCTCTCCAACCTCCCCCGCGCCGACCTGGCGCTGCGAACCGAGATGACGGCCGTCCTCAAGAACGCAGACCTCCTCCCCTCGGACCTCCTCACCCTCTCCGAGCTCCCCGACCTCAAGCCGGAGGACACGCGCTGGCTCCTCATCGACCACAACAGCCTGACCGGCCCTCTGCGCAAGTTCGAGTCGCAGGTCATCGGCTGCATCGACCACCACGTCGACGAGGGCACGGTCCCCAGGGACGTGTCACCCCGCATCATCGAGCCGTGCGGCAGCTGCATGAGCCTCGTCGTCGAGGAGAGCAGGAAGCTCTGGGAGGCGGTCGCCGCGGGTTCCCACCACAGCGAGGACGAGAAGCTGGCCCAGCTGGCGCTCGCCCCCGTCCTGATCGACACCATTAACCTCACCGCCAAGGACAAGACGAAGCCCAAGGACCGCAGCGCGGCCGAGTTCTTGCAGGGGAAGATGAAGGATGAGAAATTTGATCTGAAGGCCTACTACAAGGGCATCGAGGCGGTCAAGGAGGATATCTCTGAGCTCAGCTTCCGCGACATCTTCAGGAAGGATTACAAGGAGTGGACGGATGGCGGGCTGAAGCTGGGCATCAGCTGCGCGGTGCAGAACTTCGACTACCTGCTCCACAAGACCAAGGGCAACGCGCATGAGTTTTTCGACAAGCTGGGCGACTGGGCCGAGGAGAGGGAGCTCGACATCATCTCTGTGATGACGACATCGCATCCCGGCGGGGAGTTCCAGCGCCATCTCCTCGTATGGGCTCGGAGTGACGAGGCGATTGCTGCGATACAGAAGTTTGCAAAGATATCGGATTCTTTGGAGCTCGAGGCCTACGAGAATGGAGAGCACGACAAGGCCGGACGGAGGATGACTTGGAGGCAGAAGAACCTGGCTGCTAGTAGGAAGCAGGTTTCGCCGCTGCTGAGAGAGGCTATGGAGTGCAGGATGTAGGGCCGCGGTCTCAAAGTTTGTATTTGTGCTTCGCCATGTCAAAGAGGTCTGAGCAAAAGGACAGGAAAGTGGGGCCGATAGAATCTTATGAATGCAGCTATATTACATGCCCTCTAATGCTGATATGGTTATTGTACAAATGGTATTTGATTCGTAATAAAGGATTAACAGCTACCGGTCCTGAGGCTGAAGCTGTGACCGGATATGCTCTACCTCTGCGAGAATACGAGCGAATTCGGGCACTTTCGACATTTCTTCGGTATGATTGTCTTCATCCATCATGTCTGACCTGCTGATGTCTTTGAGCTGCGTCAGCGCAAGAGGGTCAGCGACTAAAATGGCCATTTTCAGCCATCTATAGAGCTCCCCAACGGGGCTGACGGCCGGTCTTTCGAGGAGCATCTCGGGGTAAATCCATCGGAGAGCGTCTCTGCAAAGCCGAGGCTGGGATGTGGACGCGATGAGTCGATATGCAAGCTCATATAGTCGAGGAGACCTCGCACGATTGAACCTGGGCGGAACGCTGAATGCGTCCCACACTCGATCCCAATCATCGCGGAATGCGTATGCGTTCATGAGTGCGAGAGTATGCTCCTCCGTTGGGGGCTCATGAGATTCTCTAAGCAGGATCTCAAGGCCTTGTTGAGCCTTTGTGAGTTCGGGTCCGTATGCCGGAGATCGAACTATAGCTTCTATCAGAAGAACGAGTAAGTTTGTGGATTCAATCTCAAGACCTCTCTCCTCAGTAGTGCGTAAAAGGCTGTCGACCCAGGCGAGACGGTCTGCGGCCGAATGACTAGATGACAATGGAGCTCCGAGTATGGTTAAAATGAGCTCTTGAAGGCGACGGTGGTCGAGAGCATCTCCACCATATAGGATTGATTCCATCATGCGCCGCAGCTCTAGCTCCTTGACGGTTGCATCCTTGGCTCTGGAATACGTGTTTGCCACAAGGGAGCTACTATATTCGAGAGGAGCTCCCTTGGCTTGCTTATCCCATCGAGAGGGTGTCCTTGCAGTAGACATACGCCTTTGCTGCTCAGAAGCTTGCTGAAGAGCTTCCCATTGCATCTTCGAGGGACTTGTGTGTAGTTGTAATCTTGAGGCCAGCATCTTTTCCAAATTTAAGGCATCCACGCCACTTTCCCCACGGACCTTTGTTTGCTGCTCAAGGTTTCGTTTGAGAACTCCCCTCCACAGTAATTCTAGGTCAAGTTCTTCACGCCTAGGTTCGGTCATGCATTGTATTACCACCGTAGTTCCCGTTTGTGCAGAGCCAAATCCAGAAAACTTCCCCGAGTCATCAAAAACTGCGGCTTCGGCATGGCCCTGTCCATGCAAGGAGAAGTTGACACAGACCCATCCCGTAGAAATGCCATGATCGCCACCGGGCAGTATCGCACTGTTTGAACCCATGAGCTTCGCCTTCTTCCTGAGCCGCCGGAGCTTCGTTTTTAATTCCCCCGGGCCGATGAGTCCATCGGCACTCGCATCAACGTCATGATTTCGTCGAAGCCATCTCACAAACCGCCCAGCGGATATATGCAGGTGCCTTTCGCTTCGAGCGGTCGCGCATAACATGATGAGATTGGGACCTAATGAAGCAGGAGGGTCAAGCTCTCGGAGATCTAGTAACGATATATCGTCCAGACCCATGTCTTCGTATATGTATTTAATCATCGGCTCGATTATCGCGGGGCCATCCTCGGGAGCTTTCGGCAGGGTAGCTTTGTGCAAGCTGGGGGCATGCCTCGGAGGCTCTTCTTCGAGGAACCATGGGGCTTCTTCCTCCTCTTCAGGAATTCTGTCCGTTTGCTTTGATTCATTTGGTTCAATCTCGGCGGCGGGGTTCTGTGAGGCGGATTGAGTTTTGAGCAGGTCGGAGTAGCATCTCGGTCGAAATGCAAAGCTTGGATGCATTCGTGGATTCGCCCTATATACACTGGCAGAGAAGGAGGGTGCCGCTGTGCGAAGTAGTACCTGTCGGCAGCCCCGACAGCCGATTGCTGTCAAAGCAGGACGGACACTCATAATTGATGACATCTACATGGACAATGTTCCATGCTGGTCCAATGTCGAACGTAATAAAAGGATTGAATAAATCTAGGCGCAAAACTGCACCTGCAAATACACACGTGCCTTCCCCCACTTCGGCGTCATGCGAAATGCGGGAGAATATTTGTCCGCCGCCGCCAGCCAATCAACAGCCAGAATTTACAGGTCGTTGGAGGAAAAAAAAAATCGGAGCTCATCTCCTTCTCAGTGGCCGAGATCTCTTGAGGTCTGCACTCAATATTTTCCAGTTGGATTATCCAGTTTTTTCTTTCCTTTAGAACGCAAGTTGCTTTCATGAATGGTTTTTGCTAGTGTCGCCCGCCCAGCAGCTGCTTTTGACTGTTGGGATCCTTCCCTTCCTGACGACCTCCCACCCTCCGGAAATCCTTCACGCCGCTGTCGCGTGGTCGAATTGGACGACTAGCCGACCGACACAATGCTTCTGCGACAAGCCCGCCACAGCCTGGCGCTCAATTCACGGAATTGCCTCTCTCGACTGATACAGCCTGCATCTAAACTCCCGCCTCCGTTCTCCCTGACCACGACACTCGGCAGGAGATATGTTGTCACAAGTGATGCTCGACCTAGGCGCCGGCGCCTCTCAGATGCCACACATCTTCCAGGGGGCGAGCGAAGCCTCGCCACGGCAGTGAGCGACCCATTCGTCGACAGCCTTTCTTTCGGTCAAATCCCGAGTCCACAGATTCCTTTCCAGTCGGATCACTTCCAACCCTACATGTTGAATAGGATCGACCCCAGCAATCCCTTAATATTGCCAGAACCTGCCCTTGGTCCCAAAATCATAGGCAAGATGAATAAACACGGCGCTCCCAGCGAGATCCAGGATCTTCTCCCTGTCTTCGACGCCTGCCTGCGGGTTGGTAAGCTCGAAAGAGCTGTTGTGGTGCTGAAGCGGCTCAACGCACACCCCTCGCTGTCACCGGAAGAGCACATCATCCTTAATAATCAATATTTACGAGCCGCTCTTGAGCAAATTCGAGCCAACCCCAGCCAAAACCTGGCCGAAGAGATCCGCAAATGGTACGAGACACAAATTCGATCGACCTTCCCTCACACCGCCGAGACGATTGCTTGCATCTTGAAAGCATCACTTCTTTCATCGCGTGGGCCAAGGCTTAGGCGTCTTGTGAAGCGGTATATGGACATGGCCCCTGGTGAGGCCGGCTTGAAGGTCTTGAGAATGGGAGATATCCTGACCGATCAGGACCTTGCAGTTATCACGGATATTTGCCCCACCTACAATCTTACTGCGGACCCCGAAAGCTTTGAGGAAACAATCGAAGATTCGAGCGAGGCGAGTGCAACAGTTGTTTTGGAAAGCACTCAAGTGTTAAACGAAATGTCATCCTATCCGCAGGTCCAGCCCACCCCACAACGTGGAGAAGGGTTGAACACTCTAAAATCGGGTATGTCCCTGCTCGAAGCTTGGGAAGACACCGATATTTCCACTCTGCCGCCGGCCGATCAACGCGAAATCCAAGTACAATTAGAACGAGATGCCATCACTTCGGCAATCTCCAAGTGGCGCCATGACAACCAAAATCTTTCCAAGATTGGCATCAGCACCGCACTCACAGCCAGCAGAGTTGACGGACCATCGTTGAAAGACCATCTCGGCTCATGGTTAGAGGCAATTGAGCAGAAGTTGGTCCAGGAGCTGGCCCTTGTCGAGGTTTCAGAAGCTCGAGAAACCAAGTCGCAGACGGACTTGGCTAGGTGTATCTACGGTCCCTTGATACACCAAGCAAAGCTGGAGAGGCTTGCGGCTGTCACAATTATTTCAGTTCTCAACGCTTCGCTCTTGGCCGGCGCTGATACAGGCCTTCCAGTGTACGCATTGACTAGGCACATTGGCAGGGCGGCCCAGGAAGATATCAAACATGCCCAGAAAGAGCAGAAGGAGAAGGCTCAGAGGAAGCGCAAGGTGGAGTGGAAGAAAGCGGCCAAAGCTGCGGCAGCTTCGACGTCCGAGGCACAATCCCATGACCTTCAGCCATTGGTCGAAGAGCACCCGGAGTCTCACAGCCGCCTTAAAGATGCAATTCACCAACCATGGTCCCCATCCGTGACTACTCACGTCGGAGCTGTCCTCCTCAAAGCTTTTCTCGATTCCGCTAAGATCAAGGTTACAATTGATCACCCAACAGAAGGAACCATCTCACAGTACCAACCGGCCTTCACACACACGCAGATGATCAGAAAAGGCAAGAAGATTGGTAGCCTCTTGATGAACCCTGAACTCATCCAGTGGATGAAGAATGAACCAGTGGGCGACTTCTTGGCCAAGCATTTGCCAATGGTTGTTGAGCCCAAGCCATGGCGACGGTTTGACGAGGGAGGCTACCTTCACAGCAAGGTCAATCTGGTACGCGTGAAACCTGGCGATGTTGAACAGAAGATGTACACAAATGCAGCTATCAAGTCAGGGGACCTTAACCAGCTTTGTAAGGGAATCGATGTTCTGGGGAAGACAGCCTGGCGAATCAATCAACCAGTCCTCAATGTCATGATGGAGGCGTGGAACTCGGGCAAGGAAATCGCTAACTTCCCACCTCTCGAACCCAACATATCAATACCTCCAGAGCCAGAACAATCCGAAGATCCTTCAATTCACCGGAACTGGGCTCGTTCAGTGAAAGCCGCCCAGAACGAGATTTCTGGTCTCCATTCACAGCGTTGTTTCATGAATCTTCAGCTTGAAATTGCCCGCACGTTCCGAAATCAGCCACTCTACTTTCCCCACAATGTCGATTATAGAGGCCGAGCATATCCAATCCCGGCTTACCTGAACCACATGGGCGCCGATCATACTCGCGGTATTTTGAGATTCTCCAAGGGCAAGAAGCTGGGCGAGCGTGGCCTAAGGTGGCTCAAGATTCATCTCGCAAACGTGTACGGACTTGACAAGGCCAGTTTCGATGACCGCGAGGCCTTCGCCATGGAGAATATGGAGAAGATCAACGACTCGGTGAAGAATCCCCTCAATGGGAGCCGATGGTGGCTGGAAGCCGGAGACCCTTGGCAATGCCTTGCCGCGTGCTTCGAGCTGAGTGCTGCCTACGAACTACCTGATCCTACCGAGTATGTGTCACATCTCCCAGTTCAACAGGACGGTACATGCAACGGACTTCAACATTATGCTGCCCTCGGTGGTGATACTTGGGGTGCCCAACAAGTCAATCTGGAGCCTGGTGACAAACCCGCAGATGTGTACTCAGCCGTTGCCGATTTAGTTAAGCAAGCGCTTGCAGAGGATCTCGCAAACGGAGATCCGCACGCCAAAGCGCTTGATGGGAAGATTACCCGCAAGGTTGTGAAGCAAACAGTCATGACCAACGTCTACGGTGTCACGTTTTCAGGTGCAAAGAAGCAAATCTGCAAGCAAATCGACGCGCTCTACCCAACTCTGGGCGAGGAATGTGGCATTCAACACCTGACTCTCGCCACCTATGTCGCTCGACATGTCTTCAACGCTCTCGCAACCATGTTTCGCGGTGCTCATGATATCCAGTACTGGCTAGGTGAAGTTGGCGGTCGAGTCTGCCAAGCTCTCACTAGTTCACAACTTGACCAGATTGCCCATGCTTACAGTGCAGGCAAGCCATCGAATGGAGCCCAATCGAAGGGACAGGCCAAAAAACAATTGACTGAGCTTGAGAACAACTTTCGATCGACAGTCGTCTGGACAACACCTCTGCGATTTCCTGTTGTGCAGCCATATAGAAAGTCGACGGTCAAAGAGGTCAAAACCAGTCTCCAGGCCATCACATACACAAGAACCCACCAGACCGACCCTGTCAACCGCAGGAAACAGCTTCAAGGATTTCCTCCAAACTTTATCCACTCGCTCGACGCGAGCCACATGCTTCTGTCGGCTTTGAAGTGCGACGAGCAAGGCCTGACCTTTGCTGCTGTGCACGATTCCTTCTGGACCCACGCCGCTGATGTCGATAAGATGAACTCAACCCTCAGAGAAGCGTTCGTTCAAATTCACGAAGATGATGTTATCGGACGTCTGGCAGCCGAGGCCAAGGCGCGGCACAACGGTTCCCTGTATCTTGTTCGCCTTGACCCCAAGTCTCCTGTAGCGAAGAAGATTATGGATCTTCGAAATTCGAGCAAGCTCTCCAGCGTCGAGGAGCTTCTTTTGGAACACAAGCGCAACACTCTTCGACTCTCGGGCAATCCTTGGGATTTGGAGGCAGCGGAGAAGATTGTGACGCCATCAACTGTCTACCAGGACATGAAAGCCACCGAGGAGGATCTCAGCGTTAAACAAGCCGTCCAGGAGATCAGCTTGGGCCGCATCCCGTCAAATGCAGCATCGACGGAAGGTGAGAAGGAGGAGGATGAGGCTGTGGCCAGAGACGATGATGACTTAGATAAGTCAGCGACCAACCACTTTGCGACTGGACCTCACTTTGTTCCCGTATGGCTGCCAATGACATTCCCAGCCATTCCGAAGAAGGTTTGTTTCAACATTTTCATTTTGACAAATACGCAAGTACTAATCTGCGACAACAGGGTGATTTTGACGTCAAGCGTCTCCGAGACAGCCAGTACTTTTTCTCCTAAACTCCACCGCTACTGTACATTATCACCACATACCATCAACTCTTATTTCGAAGCCGCGTGGCGACATGCCACCAACCTCGGCGTAGCCTCTCTACTTCGGCTACGCATGCTTTACCTCATTGCAATGCATTCTGCAGGCGTTTTGACCTCTTTGAACTTTTTTTCTCGACAGGGCAGGGGTCGCGAGCGATTTTTCATTTCTTCCCGGCGTTCCAAAATAAAAATAGGATGGGGAAAGACCACATACAACATCTAAGGGGGGAGACGACTCGGTTTAATGATTATCACATGCACGATTCATGTTTCACACGACATGTTCGTATTGTACTTTACCCATACTTCATGTATCATAACGCACAGCGACGAGTTCCATCACTCTCATCAGGTGTAGAATAGAAAAACTTGGGGGAAGACGGCAGACGAGGGCCAGCCAGCTGGGAGATGCCTCGGAGCCATTGTTAAAAAAAGTAAAATTCAAAAATTAATCATCAACCAGTCACTCATTTATCGTGAATATGCTCGTAGTGGTTCAAAGCCCAATATTCTATTTTTGTCATTGTCTTCGTTTAAATTTTTATGTTTAATCTCTGGAGTCCACCCATGAGAAATGCATTTATCGGACAGTAGCGCCCTTCAGAGTCTTGACGGTGCAGACACCGCCGCTCTCGGTGACCAGCTTGCCCACGTCGGACTTGCCGAGCTGCTCGACAGCCTTGGCGTCGAACGCGACCTCGAGAGAGTCGGTGGTGGTGAAGCCGGGCTGGAAGGTCTCCCAGATCTTCTTCTTGGGGTTGAGGATGCCCTCGGACTTGCCGTCCCAGCCCTCGAAGAAGACCCTCTCTCCGGCCTTGGCGCCCTCGGGCGGGGAGACGAGTTCGACGGGGCCCTTGTGGTCGTCGACCTCGCCCTCCTTGAGCTTCGGGGAGGCGGCGAGCACCATGGCGGAGGACTTGATGCCGCGCATCTTGACGGGCTTGAGGTTGCAGACGACGACGACCTTGCGGCCCTGCATCTCCTCGAGGGGGATCAGGCCGTTGAGGCCGGAGCAGACGGTGCGGCAGACCTGGCCCTCGTACTCGGTGGTGTCCTCGCCGGCAGGGTCGCCCATGGCGATGGTGGAGACGTAGAGGGAGTCGGCGTCCGGGTGCTGGATGGCCTTGAGGATGTGGCCGACGCGGAGGTCGATGAGGGCGGGAGAGAGGGGCGCGGCGGCGGCGGCGGCCTTGGGCTGCTTGGGGGCCTTCTCCTTCTTCTCCTTCTTGGGCTTGGCCTGGCCGGCGACGGCCTCCTTGGCCTCGGCGACGACCTCCTTGACCTTCTCCTTGGTGCGGTCGACGAGGGAGGCGTCACCACCGGCAGTGGCAGCAGCGGCGGCCGCGGCCTTCTCCTTCTTCAGGCGCTCCTTCTCGGCCTTGGCGTCGACGGGCTTCTTGACGAAGCGGACGTCGTCGGCGTCAACCTTGACCTTGCTCTCGTCCTTGACGGCGAGGCCGAAGATGGGCGAGTTCTGGACGAAGTCGATGAGGCGGACGATGTGGGGGTATCCCTTCTCGCCGGATCGCTCGTCGGGGGACCATTGGGCGACGACGGGGGAGAGGGTCTCGTAGATGGCGACGTCGGCCTTGCTGGGCTTGACGCCGAGGAGGGTGGTTCGGCTGGAGAGGTGGCTGTTGAGGGTCTCGATGATGGAGGACTTGTCGTCGCCGGCCTTGAGGCGCTCGGAGGTGGTGAGCCACTGCTGGATCTCGGCCTCCTCGGTGGGGGTGTAGGTCTGGGAAGAAATGGCGGCCATGGTGGCGATGAATCGGTGGGCGGTTCGTGTGAGGGGAGCGGCGCTCAGACGCCTGGGGATGAGGAATCGGAGGGGGGGCAGCTTTGCGGTGTGCTGGTTCGAGTCTGTCTCCTCTGGATGCAGGAGAGCTGGTACTCGAATGGCGATGACTGGGAGAGAAAACACACACAGGGAAAAAAATGGAATGACTCGATGTGGTGGGTGGTCAATTGATGGCGGGGAAATTTTACTGCCCCTCCAGCCTGGTCTGTGCTCACGTGCAACGCACATCAGCTCCTGGGTCGAAGGGTAGGGACCAATCCTCCATGGCCTTTGTACGTTTAGTCTTCAATTTACGACCAAAGCTATAATAAAAAAGCCTAAAGTAATCTTTTATATCATGTATTGGGTTCGTTTCTTCGAGATACAACGCTTTCTGACTCAGTGAGCCATTTCGGAATCCTGCTTTCTTCGTCACAAGTCCCAAAAGAACACCGTCGTCTCGTATCTTTTATCGACCCATACCAGTTGTTGACCGGAAGGAGAGAAGGTTAGGAGACGAAAAATTTCGATGCCACCTTCAAAGAGCTTTTGGCATCTCGAGAAACGATCCCCGTTCATGTGCCAAACAGTAAGACCCCCAATTTTTTCATCCCTATCATAACAAGCTACGACTAGTTTCTGAGCATCGCGTGAGAAACAGTACCAGTAGTGGTATAGCGTTGGGAATGTCAACAACTTAGTCTCCTTTGACCCACGACGGAGAAACAGACATCCCTCCCTTGACAGGAGGAAGCCCCCTGCATCCAACATCTTCTGCACCACCCCTTTAAAGCTGTCGCGGTTTGCGAACTCATCTGTGGTCTCATCGAACTCCCATATATATGAGGAATCACCGATACGTATGCCGCTCTTAGCAGGAAAGGGCCTCTCTATTATCTGGGCAAATCGCGAGCCATCAGTGGAAAAGACGAAGGCCAAAGTTTTATCTGGAACCCCGATTCTCTGCTGCAGAGACTTAGAGGCCAAATTCCAAAGCTGCAACTCATGGGAACAACTAATGATGAGTAGTTTTCCATTTCCAGAAATCGCCGAGGCCGTGATTTCCTTCTCTAAGGGGATCGTGAACGTGGAAGGCCGATAAGATACGCCTCGATCATCGCTGGTGTAGGTATTCACAAAGTTCGTTCCTTCAGTATCGCGGACACAAAGTACGGGGTTGCGATCAGCTATCACGAAACTGTGAATGCTTTTGTTAGGGATGTCAATAGGCTTGATCCCTTCCCATATTTTCCAATTTCGGCCACTTCGCCGTATGTCAATGATTGTGCCCTGATCCCACTGCCCTTCTCCTACCGAATGATAGGTATGGATGTAGTGATTTGTGATTAGGAAGAGTGTTCTTCCATCGTCAGAATACTTAATAGCTTCCAACCTGCAGCCCTGGCTTTCGAACGACAATGTATTTACTTCTTTGCCACTCGGCAGCTTAAGCACCCGGCTTTTGCGCCTGCCGTTCTCAGGATATTCGGCCCTGGGTGGACTTTGGCGCCTTTTGGGCGAAGCTAAAGGCTTGGATCTAGGCAGTATGTTATGTTCCAAAGCATCGCTCTTCCTGTCATCCATTAGGCGTGGGCCGTTGTCGCCTGTCTCTGCACTAGACACCCTTTGGCTATGCGAACTTGGTGAAGTAGGCCAATCTTGTTGAATGGGCTGGGCAAAGTCGGCATCGTGGGAGACATCGATGGGGGATATCGCTAAATAAGGAGGCGGTTCATTACACGGTTCAGTAGGTGGCCACTCTGCTGAGGCATCTTCCGTTAGGTCCGGGATTGAATTTGGCTCTATGACCAGTGTCGTCATTGGATGATCTGTGCGTATTACATCCAACTCCGATGCCGAGACGCTCAACCATGGATCAGCGAGAGCCTCTGAGGCAGAGGGCCGATCATGTGGCATAGGAGCCATAAGCCTTGCAACGAACGTGTTGGACTTCTCGCTGATGCCATTTTCGAATGGTAACGGGTCGCTCTGGCCTACGTATCTGCATAGGCTCAATAGGTCTTCGAAAGGCACCCGCCCAGACGTGAGGCGGAAAGCAATCGCACCAACAGCCCAAATGTCGACAGATGGGGATAGCAGTGGGTTTCCTGAGGCCGCATCATCCAGTTTAACGATTCCACGGACCTCTGGCGCTTGATACGCAACTGTTCCAACGTTGGAGCACCAAGTGGCGATATCCATCTCTCTACTCGTGCCAAAATCAGATATCTTAACCCACCAGGACGGACCGGCGTGCTGCACAAGAAGATTCTATCCCCCGAATCAGATAATGTTTTATGTCTGACTTAAGCAATGAGCAACTTACATTCGGCTTCAGATCGCGGTGAGCAAACTTGTTTTGGTGCATGAATCTAAGTCCCTCCAAGACCTGTAGACTTATGCTGGCTGCCTGTGCTTCGGGTAGGGGATCTTTCAAATACCGCGACAAATCCCCAAGTGGGAGGTACTCCATAGTAATGTATAGAAAATCATTGGTGTCGTACCAACCATATGACCTGACGAAGTAATCGCGATACTGTAGCATAGTCAGCGGCGGATTACTAACAACAAATTCATGGATGAGCACAACATACCGCTTCGTCGGAGAACCTCATTATGGCAGAGAGCTCGGCTGACAGAGCCTTGGAAGAGATCGACCGCGACCCAAAGTTCTTGAAAATCTGCTTCACGGCACGCGATTGACCAGTGCTAGGGCCCGACGTGCACACCTCTCGCCAAACAACACCAAAGGTGCCCTGCCCCAACCTCTGCTCATCACGCTCCCACCTCTCCTGGATGGGCATTCGCCGAACTCCTGTCGCATGGTCAGACACGTATTTTGTGTGAGTCGTGCAGCCCTCTTCGATAGTGCATTGTAGCCGCCAATGAAGGGCCAAGCCCGACACCAGGTCTTCCATCGTAGCGGTCTGAAATCAAACGACATTCCATACCCCATGTTTCGGACGATGACGGCGTTGAGGCGCAATCACAAGAATGTTACTCAGCCTGCTACAACTCTCACGTGATGCTGCAACATCCTATTGGGCCTCAAACTTCTCCAAATTGGTCCTGTTGCACTGCCAGAAACGTGGTATTACTGGCAGGGAACCACAAATTCTCAGGAGTTGGTCGAGATCAAGATGTTGATTGGCGCTTCGAGTTTCGCAGCCCCCAGCCACAGTTGGCGAGGGAAATTTCTCGCCAGATAGCCATTACTGTTCTTGAACGAATTATTCGTCTTTTTTTCTAGTTCCTTCGAGTCGATAATGAGTACTTCCACTGGCATTAAATGACTTGGAACTCGAATCCTGTCGCGTTGGAGGCTGTGTCGAAATAGCTTGGCGCATTGAAATCCTAATGGTTTTTATTAGCCCCTCGCTAGCTACCCCTTTCTCTAGACTTTGAAATACCAGATAATCAATTTACCTCAGCATAGGTCAGACCGAGGTTTGGAAGTTGCTTGCAAGAATATTTGAAGCTCTGTGATGTTCGCAGATAAACGAAAGAATTCCAGAGGGGATTCTGAAGGTTGAAACAAGCGAGACAGCCTGTCTGACAGATTTCCTACTGCATTAAATGACCCTTTAATGTGTCGGCCTGAATCATCCTGAGCCAAGCTGAATAATACATTGGGAAGCTGTCCAGCACTCTCTGAGCAGAAGCCAAGGCCATCGAGATGGGGCTATCCAACCAACAACAACAAAACCCCATCTTACCAGGCAGGACGACCTCACCGTAAGTCTAGTCTTACCATCTTCCGCTCAGCACCACGGAAATTCAAGGAGACATCACTGGACACGTATAGAACAGTGGAAGCAAAGTTGTCTCATCTAGGTTCTTTGACAAACCTAGCTCCCTATCCGATGAACTCCGTCAGGCTAACAGCTAGAGACAGAACCTTATGAGCAAACTTCACGTGAACCAAGCGCCTGAGCACAATAACGACCAATCATCTAGTGGAGTTCTACATGGCACACGTCTTGAGGACCGGCAACAGCCTGTTAAGGCCTTGGAGCTTATGTGTAGCCGAGTTCGGGAGAGCGAGCGGCGTTTCGGTCCCGAACATATCCCTCTCACCACCGACTGCGCACGGAGATAATGAGGCTGAGCAACAAAAAGATCGGCCGATAACGTCAGAAGGGAGACTGATTAGCGATCTGGCACATGTAATGTTCTTTCCAGACTGGCAGATGTGACTCGGTGTCGTGAAACCCCCACTTGAAGCCGGTTTTAGACGATACTTTTTCGGGCCATCGGATGCGTTCAACCGACTAACATGCCCATATCATTGGCGGAAATCGTAAATCCTGAGGGGAAGTCTATCGGCGATAAGCAACGGTTTCATTTGTTTCGTGTCGCTATACACCAAACGTAACTTCTCTCGTTGGCCAAGCATACATCGTCTGCCCTAAAGACGTGGCATGATTACGCCAAGACTATGGGATCAGTTTCATGTAGAGTGCTAGGAGTTGCGAATCTTTCGTCTGGCAAGTTTAGTTCTAACGATTTTAGCTGAGCTAGGATATCGAGCGAATACAAGTACTCCGAGGTAAGAGTTGCCCATATAACAGGGCTGTGTTGTTCCATGAAAAAGTGTATTGACTATAGACTCTCTAGTAAGAGCCCTGAGAGACTTGCTTGATGACCTTCTGATTTGAGCGAACTGGCCCCGGGCGGGGATGACTTTCTGAAAGACTGTCATTAGGTACTCTAGCAAAACTGGAACGTCTCGTGTTGGTCCTAATCCAGACACGCAAGGACTCAACCTTTCGGACGTCGCTCTTGCTCATGGACATAAGCTGGGGCGCGAGCCGAGATGTTCGGAACCGAGATGCCGAGTACGATTGGAAGAGCTGCCTGGTGGAGAAATCGGTCATGGGAGATGCTCAGCCGCGGATAGCTCAGCCGCGGAATACGTACCGTGAACCAGGGACAGGGTTCACAGACCATCATAGACTTATACAACAGACGGCATATGAAAGGTCACGGGGTGGGTAACATTGGGTAACTGCCGGGATCTTGCCTGTTTGAGGCAGGAACATCTCTTGGCCAATACTCAAAGGACTCCGCCTGTCAAGTCAAATTCTATATCTGTAAACCAACTGTTAGTCAGCACGTGTCCCTCCATATTCCGGATCTCGCGCGAACATCATAACACCACCCGTCCTTCTGTCTTTTGCGCTATTGATCTCCTGGTGGACCGCAAACCATCGGGTACGAGAAAGTTAGCCTTGGCACCCGAAGGTGGTAGGATCAGTCAATAGCCTGATACACCATAAGCTGAGCTCAGCGTCTGATCGGTGACTTCTGAGCTCGGCATTCTTCGCAGCCAATGAAAACCCACGATAAATCCCAGTATGGTATGTTGTCGTGATAGTTTGCTGTAATTATGCTCGCTGAACATTGCCCGTATTCAAGGTGTACCATGTTTTGTGTTATCCACCTGCCAAGGTCGATGCTTATTATGCTTATGAGGTTAGCCCAGGTGAGTAGACTCTAATTAGCAAGGGGGCTTATTGATTTTTTCCGTAAATGGTATCATTCTGCGCCCATAAACATGTGGGCCTTCCATATTTGTCTTGTGTTGTTGGTCTTGAAGAGAGCCGGCGCAGAATCAAACCTCATCGGCATTTGACAAATGCATTACCATCCCGCTCGTGGCAGTCGGCACTCAAGGACGCATTTACAGAAGATCTTTTTATTGCCCGTTGTTGCATTATACGCCGCAATGGTGGGGGTTCCAGGCCGCTCTAAAGCATGTCATTGGTGTATGAAGCGCAAAAGACGGGTATAGTTGCTTCTTTCTTCTTGCCCCTCGGCCTGATCGAGCCGTTGGAATTCCCACTGACTGATTATGTTTTCTGCAGTGCGATGCCCAGCGTCCCAGCTGTTCTCAATGTATCAAACATGGGCACGTTTGTCCCGGTTACGAAAAAGACCTTATCTTTGTCAACCAAACCACAGTAACCTTGCGTGGTCGAGACCAGGATGAAAAACCCTCCAAGTTTGCCTCAAGGAGGTATCAGCGCGTATGTCTAGCTTAAGAATCAGTCTTTTAGCCTTGAAGATGTGGCAACGCAGCTAATGCTCCTTAACTGTGTAGTCCGATCGAGTAGCCATAAAACCGGAGCAAAGCCGGATACAGTCTTTGACCTCTCTAACCCCCAACCCTCAGCAAATTAGCCCTATAGAAGCGAGAGCTATCGATTTTTTCAACCGACGTGTCTCTCGAACGCTGGCTGAGCCCCACAGCTCATATTTCTGGACAAATCTTGTCTTGCAGCTGGGACGCTCCGAGCCGGCTGTGCGCCATGCCATTGTTGCCATTAGTTCGATCTATGAGAAATACAATTGCGAAAACGAGGAGCTGCTTCTATCAAAACGAAATGAGGTTGCTCTACAGCATTACTCCGCTGCCGTCACGCGGCTTCGGCAGGTCAAGGAATCATCTACCATTTTAGTAGCATGTGTGCTATTCATCTGCCTCGAAGTCATCCTAGGCAATCGAGACCAAGCAATCACGCACACGCGGCACGGCCTCGAAATATTGAGAACGGTGGATAAAACGACTAGGAAGACGCTGACACCAATCTTCCAACGCTTGAAAGTCATGGTTCTCATGTTTGGCGTGCAAACCCCGCCGATCCAGGGGTTCAGCGCATACGAGCGGCCGACAACCTTTGCTACAACATTTCAAGATGCGGAAGAGGCCCTTGAAGAGCTGCTGCCGCTTTCCCTCCAGTTTGTTCGTTGTGCTGATGAGTATCGTTTCGGCGAACTAGCTACCGAATCTGCTCCGTCCGACTTACTTGGTCAACAGGCAATTCTGGCGAAATCGATAGATAATTTGCAGGACTTGATGGGGAACCTACGGGAGAACTTTCCACATATGGGAGACGCCGATGCCAGATACTCTTCGTTTGTGCTCCGTGCAAAGTTTTGCCAGATATGGATTGCGACAGCGTTGGAGAAGGACGAGATGCAGTTCGACGCTTGGATGGACACGTTTCGTGAGATGATCACCCACACAGAAATACTCGGCCGTACGATACAAAGACAAAAGAGGAGCAGGATCGGTCCGGAGATTCGATTCGAAATTGGTTTCATCCCGCTGGCGTATTTCATTCTCATGAAGTGCCGGGATCGGTCCATTAGGCTGAAGGCCCTGCGGCTGATAACGGAATACGGCACATCGCGAGAGAGTTTCTGGGAAAAAGACAAGTTGGTTACGGTCGGAACACGCATCATCGAAATTGAGAACAAGGTCAAGCTGAATGGGGGTGACCAAATACTCAGCCTTTCCGCACCAGGCCACCTTCCATCGGTCGAGGACAGGGTCTGGGATACCACATTCAACCCAAAGAGAATGATCGCCGGGGAATATGAGGGCCAGATGGTGACTGGGGCGCCAATGGGATTCATTATGCGCAATGGTGATGGTCGGTGGTATGTTCGGCATGAATTCATCGCTCTTGGAGCTTTGGTAAGTTGAAATAGCACTGCCACTTTGTTCATTTCGTGCATCTATCGATAAAATTGGAATTCAACAACTGACGAACATTGATCCAGACCAATGAAAACAAAAAGCCGAGATTTGTACAATTAGACGAGACCATTATCGAAGACTTGGCCGGTTCTACAATCGCGCGCTCCAAATGCCCAATGAGCTGAGGATACCCATCTAGAGCCAGGCCAGCGGACCTTCAAGTAGATGATTATTGAGATGTTCGCGCCGCTGTGCCCTGCGCACCGAGACTATTGTGACGCATGCGGGCTCCGAATTCTGCACATTTTGGATAATTACGGGCCAACTCCTACTAGAGGAGATGGCATTATACAGGTTAGGTGTTAACATCGGCTTCCTAGAGTTTCTGGCACGTCGGAAATTTCTACGGTTTACATTTTGCTGCAATTTCACTTTGTTCATCGCCTGGATTATCCCTAGAGCCTCCCAAATTAAGCAACTCTGTTGGTTAAGGTTAGAAGCGAAGCCAGCAGATAGTTGCTGATTTTATCAAAACTTTTATTCATAAGAGTACAAGAATGTTACTCTACTCTCTACTTAAATTCATTGTGATCGTTGGGTGTTCGTGATTCAGCAGCCCCCGAATCCATTAGGAAAACGGCCGCCCGAATACTGCCTTCTCGAAATATTCGAAGGGCCACAGCGAGAAGTGCTCAACCCTATAGCGCAAATTGTAGTTAATTCATTGTCTTAAAAAATAAAATGGGAAAAGAAACGCCGAAAATGCATTTGAAGTTGGCTGCGTAGGGATTTGCAGACCTTGCGAACAGAGACGAGACACCCCTGCTGGAAGGATGCAAGAGGCGAGCTTGGTGGAACAATGGATGACAGAAGCATGGGAAGGACCAGCTCTCAGCAGTAGACCTAGACGAAGCGCGGTTGAAGGCAGCTAGACCCAGAGCACAGTCTCGAAAGGCACTTTTGATAGGCATGTCTCACCTCTTCTAGGTCAGGCCAGCTCACTCCCCACAGACGTGAGTTGACGTCCACAGATATGGGCCTGTAGTACTGAATGAGCCTGTAGTTTTAAGACCCTCTTTTCCACCGACAGTCGCTACCACGACATCGCGGCACCGGACCTTGTCCAAATAACTCTAAACCCCATCTTTCGCCTTCCGGATAGCTAAGAGTAAGGTATCGAAGCTTAAAACAAAGTGGCTGGGGCCATGGTGTTCGGGGCACCGTTCGGAATCCGGCACAACGTGCAGACACGGAACAGTCAGAGCTAGACGCCACTGGGCTAATACGATGCCAATAAACACGCCGAGCTGAACAGCTGCAGCCAGTAGAACGACTCCATTGCCTACCACTGCATGAAGCTGCAGAATACGAGCCTGGAGAGCTACATTGGATACGGAGTAAGCCGAGTTGCATTGACCGCCGTCGACCATTTCACGGTCCAGACTTGGGTCCTGTCCTGCTCCTCACCATCATTTCAGCTGGCTGTGCCAAGTATAAAGAGTACGAATATTCCTGGACTGTGGTAGTTCTCCTCAATTCATCGAGCTTTTGATTTTCGCTTACAGTTGTCTACTCATCACGTCTACCTGGCAGAATGCACTTTGCTTCACTCCTTGTCCTGAGCTGTGCTGCTCTTAGTGCAGCTCTCACACCGACGCAGATCAGCAACAAATTTAAGAAGATGGAGAATATCTCCACTCGCTGCATCAATAAGGCCCAAAAGCTCGAGGCCAAGGACGGTACCAACATCAACAGCCCATCAAGTCGCTTCCAGGTAATATACCCAAGTAGCCTTCTGCTTCGTAGAATTATTAGGGACTAACATGTGTTGGATCTGATTTAGGATATTTTCAAAGGCATTGATGAGATTGACCGTCTAGCCAACGAAATATCTGTCTCTGTCGAAGCTTTGCCCTCCCAGTATAGCAGTTCTGATTCTACCATAGTCATGAATGGTTATTCCAGCGTAAGTAGCGACTAATTGTTCCATATGCTTCATTTGTCACTCACGCTGACGATGCAACTTTTTCCAACAGTGGAGCAGTCAGCACCAGGAAGTGTACGTCAACCTCAACTACGCACGACAGCCATTCGCTGGCATGGCTCCTGTCTGCAACGCTATCCGTGACTCGATCTCGAAGGACCAGGAGAGTCTGGACCGTCTGGGAATTGCTCTCCTTAACAAAGTCGCTACTTCCGATCGATATGTCGTCACCCGCATACGAGCCGGCCTTGGCAGGCAAGCAAGTGGTGTTAAGAGGAACTATTGTGAAGGGATCAACAGCGGAGAGTGATGAACCTAGGGTTAGACCCATGAGATTACCATTTTCCAATCCACTACAAGGGAGTGTTTAACAAAGAGGAAACTGATCAAGAAACGGAGTGTGTGCGGATTAGACGTAGTTCTCACTTGTGTTGCATACTAAGGATAGTAGTGATGAGGTATGCTCAATAACAATAACTTCTCATTAATTTTGAGTTTTTTGGACAGTGAGCTGAATGGACACACACCTCGAATGGCCGTGATGTCTCTCGTGCCGCTTAGCAAAGACCTTCGGGGTCAGGTAAATCACTTTCATAGATGCTTTGAAGAAGAGAAAGGAAAGAAGCGCTCACCAAGTAAGACTTGAGTCCATCAGCCCAGCCTAGCACGGCCTACTGGATAGATAACGGGTCTGGACCTAAGTGTCCAATGAGTAGGATTGCTGTAGGTTGTTAGGTGGCACCTCTTGCAAAGGAAACATCTTCGACGTTCATTCAAAAGGTAGACGGACCTCCTGATACATTTCTCTTTGCAAATATATGACTGATGCCGAATACTAATATGAAGCCCTTTAATCTCCTATAGAATAGCCACAAGAAATGTAAGAACCACCAGCATGGCGCTTTTGCCTGCTCTCCACTGATGCCTATCGCAGCTACCCCCTTCTCATCACTGCTCTTGCAACCAGTCGCGCTGGCCTGGGCCGAGCCACTCGAGCTTCTACTTCCTCCGCTATTATGATTCCCGCTCGCGCTCGCCGTGCTGATGGTGTAGACCACGCTGTCAGCCAGGTTGGTGTATGAGAAAACGGAACCACTTCCCGGGCTAGTCACGCTACCAGATCCATCTAAGAGGCTCCCCTTGCCGGTGGTAAGGGCACTACCGGGCGAGATGTAACTACTGGCGGCAGTGAAGCCGAGATCCTTCTGACAGTCGTACGAGGACATGTAGGTGCCACAAGCGGAGAATGGCTGGTTGTAGAGAGTTTCGAGTTGAGAAACATATGATAGGCCAACGAGATCGGGGTCGGTATCGGGACATGTCTCGTATATGCTACAAAGGTCAGGTAAGCCTCGAGATATCCTATAGTTCATATGGCCGTTCTCTTACCCGGAAAGTGCTCCGCTTATAGCGCAGCATTCGCAAGCGACGATTTTATTGATTGATTCAAGCGCATCCCTTGCCCCGAAAGATGATGATCCTTTGATGCATGAGGTACCCTCATTGAGACTGTTGAGGAACGTCTGGTACACCTTCCCAAGGTTGCAGGAGCACGCATCCTGTGCATTATCTGGCACAGGAAAGTAGGGAAGGGGAAGCTTGGCGGTCTCGCAGTTCTTCAGATACTCATAAACATATTTCTTGTACTCGCATTCGTAGACGCGGTTCCAGCAGCTGGCGGAGTAGCAGTTGATGTTGTCGGTGTAGTACACGCACCCGCGCGCGATCGTCTCGGCCTGGCTGCCAGCCTTGCGCGCATTATCCAGACATGTCTTCCCTGTGAAGGCAACGTCATCAAGGCACTTTTGGAGGCCCGAGGCATCGACGCAACCTGTTGTGGTGAGATTTGTGGTGGTGGCCGCGAGAGCAGCCATGGGCCTGAGGAGATAGAGCAGAACAGCTTTCATCATCGCGCTTCGTCCGGAGTCGTTGTTATTCATGGGTGTCACCTATCTCTTGGTCGATAATCTTCTGGGTTGCTTTGGCTTATTATAGCAGAAGCCGATAGATCTCTAAGTGGCACCAAGTCCCGTGCGCGGCTCTTCTTTACCGAAACTGACATGGGGCAGAGGCAGCCAATGCAGTCTCGACTGGCCACTCGGTCGCTTCTACGATTAGATCTGTATCAATAGGGCGAAAATATCCCGTCTTCGAGACATGAAGGGAGCTCTCATTCAAGCCCGAGAGGATTCCGACCGGATGATGTTGCCGACTGCGGCGGGGAAGAATCTCAGATTAGGACACGAATAACCACTTCGAGTCTCGCGGCATCATGGAAGGCGGTGGATTGGGGGCAAGGAGTGGCCAGCTTCATATCAAGAACTTCGCAATGAAATCCACACGGAACTCCGGCACTTTGCATGATTAACGACAGCAACAAGTACAGAACGAAGACTGTTCATCCGTTGAGAGGTTATCCCTATTTCTAACCCTCGCATTATGATGACTTCTGACTACCACCCCCTTATGAGATATGTAGATCGTCCTTAACACATCCAGAGCGGATTTGGATGGCTAATTATCATCTTTTTCCAAACTGGGCCTCTTTCCGACTCGAATAGGGGTAGGGACTAGGAGTGTACTGAAACAAGACTGACGGGAAGTAACTGTCGTATTCGCGAAAGCTCTCGAATAACTTCATTTCATGACATGGTAAATACTAGGTGGATCAAGAACATATTGCAAGCCCCCATCACCGCCAAAGTTGGTCAGCTCGTGGAAGTGGCAAGTTTGCATGAGTTTCTCTCGAATGAAGCTTGTCAGATGAGGTCTAGGTTACAAGATATGGAACTGCCCTCAAGCAACCAAATACACTAGATACCTGATAGGTTGGAAAGAATGCAGGGGGGGTGGATTCGACTATCATTATGGGTAGGTAGTTTAGTCTTGGTATCTGCAAACCAATGTGCTATCGGTATGAAAACCAAGATATTGATGAGAGACTAGCCTTTGTTATAGACTTCGGCTTAGTTATTCTTCAGTTCAAGAATCTATCAATTGCTAATGCTGCAATTCAGAAAAAGATTTTTGTGTAATTATGCCCTAATTTTCATGCGGGCTTTAACTCTTGTCTCCCGGTTAATTTCTCCCCTAGCTGGATGATATGCGGCCTTAGCTTTTGTATATTCACGTTGCCCGTCACTCCATGTCCGACCAACTCTATGTTCAGGTCTATAATATGCCGAAGCTCCTCGTCGGTCGCAATTTCAAAAGACGGCATTATAATTTTGAACATACTAACGTTAGAGACAGGGTCTAACTTGGACAAGCTGGGAGCACATGCCCAGATGCGCACGCACAAATCACGGTACTTGCCATATAGATTTTCATCTCGAACCCCGAGCAATTGGTTGAATTCGTAAAGAATCCGTAAAAGAAATGACTGCCATGCGAGCATTGTTAAAAACGATCCGGTAAACCTGTAACCCGCGAAGGAATAGCTGTGACCGAGAAAGAAATTCGGGTCCTGAAACTTCTCAACAAGGCCCACAGAGAGACAGCCTCTCCAAGCCTTTCTTAGAGACTTCCCAAATAGTCTTTCGACCTTGGATATCGCTTTCAAAAGTGAGATGGTTTTTTCTTTTGTTTCAGGAGGGTTCGTCCAAATTTCGAGTAATTCAGGCAACCAGATCCTCTCGAGGTAAGCCTGAACCTCCTCGAATTTGCTCTCAGCTGCAAGAAACGCTTCGATCACGTCGTCCGCTATTTCATCGTCTGCTATGTCGTCATCGTTATATCCCGTATGAACTCCATCTAGTGTATTCCAATCGGCTTCAGTGTCCTCCTCCTCCTCTTCTTCCTCTCCACTGTCTTTCTCCCAAAATGGAGAGTAGCCCAATGCTTCTTGCTCCTTCCAAGGTGATTCTTTCAAATTGGCGGTCACTCCTACAGTAATTGGCTGTATCTGATTCAGTCTGTGTTGAAGTGTAGAAAGAAGGTGAGCGAGGAAGGAGCATACCATTGAGCTCGCGGTCGCGGAAATAAGTTTCGCGTGTAGTGAGTCACCGTCATTTGGTAGACCCATTTGCTGAGCGACGTGACGGATCCCGAGATGATGGTCTCTTAGTTGGCTGTGCTCATATTCCCCGGTAAAGCTCAGTACACGAGCGAAGAGTACCATAGAAGCTAGGATTTCTGGGGTGTATGCCTCGTTGCTAGTAGTCGCACTTCGCAGACTCCTGATGGCCTTTTTGAAGAGATGGGATCCAAGAACATCCTTGACTGGACGACCACGGTTGGCCCGAACCCAGCTTGCGCAATATATCGCCACACAGTCGACTAGGCAACTACTTTGCGGCAGTCTCTGGGGACAGAACTCCAGATAGCTTGCCAAACCGAAAATGCTGGTTTGTTCGCTTTCATATAGGCTGACTAGCTGTCTTCCAACACGGTCTGCAGCTGTGCCCATCATGGGGCGGGGAAGTTGGAAGCGGAAGCACACTTCAATTGCACCTCCGCCACCATAAGGCCTCATTAGTCCCCGATTGACCATCCTTGCTGATTGGAGTGGCTCTGCCGACTCTAGAGCACTCGACGAGCCAACAGCAGGAGGGTGTGCAGCGGGAACGAACTTGACCAAGGACGAAGGTCCAGGGCATTGAACCCCTTTGCGAATGCATTGAGTGCATGTGGGCCAGTTTTGATCGCACTGAGGGGTTTCAGTGAGCGTGCCATCAGAAAACGACGGAAGGGACTGGTCTAGCTTGCCTTTGTTCTTTTCCGCTTACAGTTATGGCAAGCCGTGGATTTCACGCACCGGGTTATTCCTACCATCGTTTACAGTGTATCAATAGAAGAGCGATTTCATTGTGTTGATGGAGGAGAAATTCACCTAGGCGATCAACAGGCCATCAATCATGCGGAGCAGAATCATGCATGTAACTCGGCGCTTCCCAGCAGCCAATCATCAACGCCAAATAGATGGAATGGCCACGGACGACAGTCCTTTTCTGGAATCTCTTATGAATTAGGTAAGCTCAACTTTTTTTTTTCAAACCATCAGTTGATGCCAGCTTTAGCCATCAAGAAGGCGAGCCAACTCCATACATGCGGAAATACCTCAAACGCCCCCACCGAATCAACTGAGACTTAGAACAATCTTGCGGTATTAACTGGAAGATTACAAGGGAATCAACAAAGAGGGGGACACAATAACAATAAACCTCTGAAAAATTCTCAATCAACACACATTATTAACAAACGTAAAAAGTTAGGTGTAAGCACCTCTCTAAATCTTGAAGCGGGTTGTCCAAAGACTAATAAATGAATACCCGCAGTCTCAAAAACCCTTACCTCAAAAGCAAAACTAGTCTGTTAGTCCGGTCTTCCACGAGTTCACGGACGACTTACTGCTCTTAGCTCGGATTGAATCCACTTTATCGCTTGTAGGCTCTCTTCTTGCTCTTGAAGAGATCCTTGTTGTAGACGCAGCAGGTTTCTTGAAAGCTGTAGCCCTCGCCAGTGTAAAAATTTTAAAATTAGGCTTCTTCAACACATCTTTCTTGTTGGACGCAACCTTCTTCAGGGTACCCTTCTCATCGGCACCAGATTTCTTGGTATCTTTATTCAACGAGAAGCCTTCTTCAAACCACTGGCCTTAATTTGATCAAGTTTTTGATTACTTCCAGTTCCATGCTTATGGGCTTTAGTCCGCTTTGTAGCAACCTTCTTGGGGCCGGCGCTAGTATTCTTCCTAGTGTTGGGGCTTTTCTCAATCCTTGCCTTCTTTTGACCAATGGCCTTAGGTTTGTTGGCGACATGCTTCTTACCGAGAGTCTTCTTACTGTTAATTCTCTCTCCTCTATTGGCGGAGTGGCCTTTGTCACCTTTTATCTATTACTCCTTCGCTAAAATCTTTTTTTGCAAGGCGTGCTGATAGGATTACCGGGCACGGGATCTATTCCTGCTATCGCCCAAGTGGCATTTTCTGGATCCGTGTTGCCCATGATTCCGTTTGCTGGGTTCTTGGCAGAGGCAATGTTATCTATCTCGGCGCAATTACCATGATGTTTATGATGGCCGATGCCGCAAGTTGCCATGTAGCTTCCTGTAGCTTTGCTGGTAACTCCACCAAGTGATCAGTATGGTCGCGCAGTCTTTGTTAGCGAAGCACTCATCCCCTTTTCGCATTTCCCTCACAAGATGCCTACTTTGATGCTTAATTGATAAACAAGGTCGCCCCGCTGTCTTCCGATTGCGTCTTTATTATTGACATATTGATACCAAGCCCCTGTCATGGCACTGGGCGTCTTCATGTCTATCAGATTCATGGAGTTCATTTTTTTTTTGGCGTCGAGCTTCATGTATTCGTATTCCTTATCAACATCCAGGCGAAAGGTACGATCTTGGGGCTTGAAAACGCCTCTGTGGACGTTCGACCAACTGTAAGAGCCATCGGACTGCCCTGGTACTTTACCGTGCCTCTTGTCAAAGATCCTCCCACTAATTATAGGAGGAGAAAATACCCACTACCTACGCAAGCTACGTTAGTTAACTCCCTCGACTCTCCACTTTCCCTCCACCTTTTTCCACCTCCATGTCCAGACTTTGCGTGAAGCTCTACCCTCAATATCTCCCAACCAAAGCTCTGCACCATGGCGACTTCATCACCCTCTTCATTGCCACCGTTTTTCTCCCTTCCATATCACATTAGGAAACGAGTTTATGTCTTCGCCGGCTTAAGTCGAGAATGCCCCGTCACCCTTGTGCCTCGTGAGCGAGCCGGGCTGTTCTACGGCCCAAGGGAGTTGCCTTTGGTTCACACTTGCGCCTTCGACTTTCGCCGGCGATGGCTACCGGGCTGTGTCTCACATGGCCATGATCCCGCTTGCTTATGCCCGGAGTTTCCTAAACAACTGCTACTCGTTTGCAAATTCCTCCACCACGAGATCCAGCAAATTCTTTACGGCGAAAACAATTTCGTTCTGAGCCGGCAAGGAAATGCTGGCCATCTAAAGGTCATCAGAATGCTTTCAAATGAAGCTTTATGCTACTTGCGCCATCTCCTCGTCCGTCTGAATAGTTGGCCTTGCGTTCGGGGACATAGTAACGCGACAAGCGAGGCCTGCATGATATGCCCCGACGGCTTTTCTCTACGCGACTCCGAGGTTTCAGTAGGTGACGAAAACTCTGAGCGTGTTGTTGATGAGTGGGAGGCTATATGTGAGGTCCTTTCGCATATTCCGCCCAACCGTCTTCATCTCGAACTCATCTGCGATGTTGGTCAACCAGAAATGGCCCGCCGTATCTTGGAGCCGATGAATTCAATCCCTCGCCTAAAGGGCTGCACCATCAGGTTTGGAAGGAAACCTCACCATGCTCTCCGATCGCTCGCAAGAGAAACGGCCACTCGCCTTACTGCAACAAGAGGCAATATTCAACCTTTCCGGTTCTCTGAGCTACCTCGTGAACTACGTCTTCGGGTTCTTTGGCATACAAACCTTGGATTGGGAGGTTCGTTTAATCCGAAGTACAGCACCATCGTCGTCGTGAGAGGGAAATATGACCATCGAGCGGTGGGTGGTAGCCACAGTAGCCATGCCATACGAACTTGTTGTCTTGAGTGTTCGTTTACCAAGCTTCATTGCTCTTGCACCTCAAAATATGCATCATATAACCCATATTGCCGATGCAGGCCTCTACCATTGGAGCTGTTTCTCGTGAGCCGGCAACTGTCTAAGGATGCTTCTGAAGTCCTCTATTCAACAAACACCTTCCGGTTCGCGCACGACTTTTCTCATACCATCAACATGCTGAGCAATATACCACCAGAGTCTCTGAAGCGGCTCAGATGTGTTGAATTCAACTTCGACTGGTCCAAAAATTGGGACGCGAACAAGTCGGAATGGCGCCGTCTTCTTCGACTTATGGCTGACCATTGCCGTCATTCGAGGCTCTTCATTAAAATCACCGTCGATACGATGGACTCTGAAGCGGCCAGAATGACGGAGGAAGAGGAGGACAGGGATGGCTTCATGAGAATGTGCTATGCGTCATACGTTGATATCGTCCACAGTATCAAGGAGTCTCACTTAGTGCTGCAAGACTTTCATTTATTCCTGCCATTGTTCTGGGATTTGGAGCCTGTTTTGGAGAGATACGTCATGGGCCCAGATTATGACAGCAAGAAAGGGAATCGGTATCCTAAGCCTGGTCACTCCTCGGACCTCTACGGGCCCGAGCACCCGTTCTATTGCGCAGTCCCAAAGTGGCACAAGGATCTTTAGGAGTTCATCTGGTCGTTTGAAGTAGGCAGTAAGAGGTTTGGTAAGGTGGCTCACTAGATGCATTCAAACTATGAAATAGATGGCTGATTGTTCATTTGATACCCTCCAATCTTTGCCCATAAAGTAAAGCCAGTCTCAATCTACCCACTATGTCTAAAGGGAGCACAAGAGGGATTATTTAAGTCTGGCTATTGACCCGGTAGATGGCTTTCAACATTTATAATATACAAAAACTGTCCATTCTTCTATCAAGAGATGAAGGAAGGGCATAGCTTATGAATGTAGAGAGGATAAAGACAATGTTCATCAACCGAGCTTGCAATCCCTTCTCCCTCCATTTCTTATCCCAACCTTTGTCCAAATGTATGCCATAGCCAATTCCCCTTCATGCCGGCTCTATAACACCCACTTAATTCAGCAGGAGATGTAGGTATAGCACATCATATTTAATTCCTATACTTTCTCTTCTCCTATAGGCCCTCTCTTTTTCAACGAGATTGGGCCGACCGCAAACTAAGCCAATTTTGAGGAAAGTGAAAACCGCCGATACGAAAGCCGCCGCTGAAAGAAAAGTCGCCGAAACGAAAGTCACCGAGAGGTAAGCCGGTGAGGCGAAAGCCGGTGATAAGAAATCCGCCTTTTCCACCGATAACCTCTATATTTCCCGCGGGCATATCTCTCAACACACATCAGTTCAATCAAGTCAATGAGCTTGGTTACAAGTTATCTCAGGAAACAGCAAAATGATGCTAGAAGCTTTTGTGTGAGCGGGGTGTATTTGGGCTGGACAAGACAGAGCAAAGAAGTGTCATCAAGTACCTTATAAATTCAACGATGCTTATTGCGAATCACGTCAAAGCCCATGTCATCTTCGCCATAGAATTCATCGCTTCACCAAGCCCGAACCCCGTATTGCGGTCGGCAGAGTGGATTTCTATTTAGAGCAAGGAATTTGCCAGAGTTTCTACTTCCCCACATCTGTTCCCAATATCCTATAGAATTTGGCCGACATTAGAAATGATGCCGGCTTCGAAAGGAGATGAGATGCGCCTTTGGCAAGTCCGCAATCCCGGGCCTCTTTCTCAAACGCTCACTTTCACAACTGCGCCTAGGCCTTCTATGGATGTTGAGAAAGGCAAAGTCCTTGTTGAAGTTGCTGTTGTCGGCCTCAACCCAGCAGACTATAAATTGGCAGAGGCTGGCTTAGTAGCCAGACTTCAGCTACCGTTCCCCAAGACTCTCGGCACCGACTTCAGCGGCACAGTCATCGCCGTTGGTTCTGATATCACTGATATCAAATCAGGCGATAATGTGTTCGGTCGCATGTTCCCTTTCAATTCCGCAGGCTCACTCTCCGAGTACGTCATTGCCTCATACGACGACGTCGCTGTCATTTCCAAGACGGTAACGCTCGAACAGGCTGCCGGCGCCCCAACCGTAGCGCAGACAGCATACCAGACCTTGGCACCTGTTGTCAAGGTAGGCGACAAGGTCTTCATTAATGGTGGCTCCGGCGGCACAGGTACATTTTGCATCCAAATCGCCAAGGCACTGGGTTGTCATGTCACCGTCTCATGCTCGACCACAAAGGTCGCACTCTGCCGGGAGCTCGGTGCAGACGAGGTCATGGACTACAAGAAAACAGATATCCTGGCGGCACTGCAAAGCGGTGGTAATAAGTACGCCGTGGCCATCGACAATGTCGGCAACCTAAATCTCTTTGGCTCGGCGGACAAGTTTCTGCTGCCTGGGGGGTTGTTCAGACTTGTCGGCGCCCCAAGCTCGCTCTCGACGGCGTGGAACTTGGGATACAACCTGCTGTCGAGTAAATATGTCCCAGCATTCCTCAATCGCAGCAAGAATACTTTCAATGCGTACGTCACGAAGAGTTCACACGAGGACCTGGCGCAGATTGCCGCCTTAATGGCGGAGGGCAAAGTAAGGACAGTGGTAGACTCGGTGTTCCAATTCAGTGATGTGCTCAAAGCCTATGAGAGGTTAGGAACAAGGTCTAGCACAGGAAAAGTTTTGGTCCATGTACGGGGAAGCTTAGATCTATAGTTCCTAGCATCAATTATATCAATATATAAAGATGGTCTCTAGTCAACACAAGGTCTTTGATATATACTATTACCTTGTACTGCAGCCGCTCATCGGGTTCGGCAAACCTCACCAGGGATCCCCCGGCGTTAAATACACACACATCGCGGTTCGGCAAGTCCTGATGCACAGCAATTTTAACCCGCCCAGAGCAATCGCATACATCAATGATATTAATAATCAACCCACCAGGTAAAATCTTGAGTTTGATCAGCTGGCGTCTGATTAGCTGTATGCCCCTGCTTTGACGTCTCCACAAGGTCATGCGCTCAAGGAGATGGGAGCAGACTCCATGTCAGATAAAAGCCTGGCCGGCACAGCAATTTTAACCTCTTCACAGGAGTCGTCCTAGTGGGTACCCAACTGCGCGACCCACTTTGGTAGGTACCTCTTTTGCATCCAATGGTTGGAGGATTTCAGCTACCCTATACCACTTACCTTTGAGTAGTCCTTTTCTACGACTTGGAAATGATTCTTTGAAGACAAGTATATCTCTCGTTTGGATAACGGAAACTGAGTCATTGGAAAATCCAATTCACGTGAAGCAAGGCCACCGAATTCAAAGGCCACAGTTACTTCGCCGCCACATAAATTAAGAAAACGTTCTTTATAGTATGGCAGTGTATTGCCCAACGCCTCAAGAACGAATGAGTTTGGCTCTGTTCAATGCTGTGTACTTTGTGTCCATCTTACGGGGATAAGACTGAGTCAGCAACTGTGTGAGTTCACTGCCTGCATTGGTGGTTGGATGGCCCTCTAGCACAGCAATTTTAACCTCCTCAGAAGGGCGATCCGGACCCGGAACAAGGGGAGGACCGAGCGACGGGAGCCCTCATCCATGTACCTAGTCATAGCCTGTTGAAGCCGTCACTAGGGTCACTACTGAAAATTTCCTTGGCCCGCTAGGTCGTTTGATGCTCTGTTAGCATCGCGTCGCATATATATGATAATTTTATACGGCAGGAGGAGGTGTTTTGGGAGGGGCAAAGATCCCCCCCCGAGTAGGACCTTGTCCTTCCCTGTGACTAACGCGAGATACCATCATTTTCTCAAAATTGGTGCTGCTTCCAGATTCACGTTGGCGAGGGTCGTACCGTAGCAACATGTCTTCCAATGTGACAGTAATTGCTAGAGGCGTGGATGATGCATAGTCTTCAGCAAAAAGATCGGCGCCCGAGGCGCACGGCACCTTCAGCAGTTGCAAGTCTGCTCCATACAAGATGGCCACGTGCAATGGAGTCCTCCCAAACGCATCCACTGTATTGACTTCGGCTTTTGCGGAAAGCAGTTGGTGCGCCATGGCTGCATCGGAAACTTCCGCAGCCAAGTGCAAAGCCGTATAATCATCGTTGCCTTTGAACTGAACGTTGGCCCCTGATTGAAGCAGTTGATCGACCAGGGAGTGATGGCCGTATAAACAGGCCAAGAGCAAAGGTGTCATCCCAAAACTATTGGTGCATTCCACCCTGGCCCCTTGTGCAGTGAGCGCGAGAGAAACGTCGCCCAGGCCTTTCCAAGCGGCAAAATGCAGACCAGTGTTGCCTTCCGAGTCAACGGCATTGATGTCCGCGCCCTCTTGAACCAAGAACTTTAGTTCAGCTACTTTACGCCGCTCATCATGACTTCTTAGATGTGGGAGAAGGCTCAGTGCACTTGCACCCTGTTCAAGAACAAAGTGCGATTGTGGATCACCAACTGTCGTTCGTGCCATCAATTTCTCGTCATCCCACCCATTCGTGTCCAAAGCAATCAGTCTTGGGACACTTGCAACCGTTGATGATTGAGAGGGAAATGAGGAAAGGCGAAGGCTATTTATGATATTGTTGCATAGGGTAGCCCCTGATACTGACAAGGAAAATAGGCGTAAGTCGAATCGCAGTCGTGTCTCCGGCTATGGCAGAGAAAGAGTCTTTTTCCACTCATTCAAGAGGATCATTGCGCCAGTATTGCTGAGTAACGTCGGGTCTTGCAACTGAGCTTTTGATTTAAGTACTCTAACAAGACTTCGAAGAATATGAGGTAATTTGTTCGGGAGCTCAACGTCGTGTCGCGCCTCAATGGCATGGTGCAGAATAAAGTACTCGGCGTATGCGACAATCCATTGAAATGTCCGAACTTCAGAAGATTCTCTCGAATACAGCTGCTCAAACAGACATAACCCATGGAGACAGGCCCTGATGATCATGCAGTGACCCAGAGGAACCATGAAAGGCAGCTCAAATACTGCTGGACCGTCCTGGAAGAAGAACTGGCGCACAGACTCGTGTATGAACTGGACCTTTGATCCTGATATCTCCATAAGTCCTCTAGATAAAGTCCTCACGTTTCGCTCTACCCTGTCCAAGTCAGCATTCCAAGCCCTTGCGACGTTTTCCGGCCTTTGGAATTTTTCCATTGCGTCAGGAAGTGATTGCACAGTTTCAACCCCTAAAAGCTTTATAGTCCTGATATCGACAGGGTGAAGAGCCCTTGGAGACAGTAACACCCATTGCACAAGCATGAGAGATTCTCCCCGCTCTTTTTGCGTAAGTGTCCCAAGGAGGTTCCTGAAAAGCTCCACGAGGTCATCAGGGACGGATGCCAGCGTTTCTTCGATCTCTTCGGCGGTTTTTCCATCGTCCAAATCTTTAAGAACTATCCTGACAACCAAAACAATCCACAGGAAGATACCAGACGATCTCTGAAGCAGCGAAGAGCGCAGCCGTTCAAGCATATGCTCTTGCCTTACTATCCCATAGCTCAGATTCTTGTCGAGGTAACGGGCAATATCACCTGAATTTCCCCTTTCGACAAATATTTCTGGACAACGTGCAATAGTAATTGTTGGATAGTGACGGCTCGATAAAAGGATATCAAGGCTTTTGCCAACAGCGTAAACGCTGTCAGCAAGGGTCCTGAAATAACGCGTTATAGAGCGGATGCTTTCCTCATCACATTCATCCAGCGCGTCGACGAAGATCATAATGCGTTGCTGCTTCTGCTGCTCTTGTATACCGGCTGCAAGAAGGTCTTGCAAGTCGGTAACCTTTGGGTTCCATTCTCTGCTGCCTCGATTGGTAGCGTTGCGGTAGTAAGTGACCACATGTTCTTGGAAATTGTCGTTTTGCATGAACAATTGAAGAATCAAGGAACGAAATAGACCCATCGGTGATCGCTCAAGAGGGCTCCCACGAGCGTTGAAGTAAAAAGCGGCGATAAGAGGGGGCGGGACGCATACCTCCTTGGCTCGGCGGGATGCTTCTTTCATCAGGGTTGATTTCCCTGAACCAGGCTTGCCTTTAAGCCATAGGAGACCGCCCGTTTCGTCAATGTTACTGCGGTGTATCCAGTCTACATACGAACCTACATTTTGGAGCCAAGAGCCAGTGTTTTCCATAGGAGGCTTTATCGCGTTCTCTCGGCTGTTACGGTCGGCGAAAAACAACACATTAATGCATGCTTGGATGAATTAGTACAATACATTAGCTGGGGTAGTTTAGTTTACTAGGCACCTGTCTTATCGTCTAGGCAAATATCAGTATTGTGTACCACGCACACGAGGATAGCAGTACGAACCTGAATTCGAGGATACCAGCCGTGAAAGTTCTGACCCTACCTTCTGATAACCAGGGTCATCATAGCCACGAAACTTGGTCATTCCCATATGGTTTGCTTGTATCGACTCAGCATGTTCGAGTGGGTTACCCAATGAAGATGAAGAATCAGGAACGATCTTAGCCGAAAAATCAGAAGGTCTGTCGCAATAAACTCCAAGATAAGAGCTTACCTTGTCATTCATTAGACCGAAGTTGAGACCATGCATGGCTTCAGCCTCTTGGAAAGTCTTCACCTTGATCCCGCGCTTTCTCCATTGGGCCATAAAAGACTGGTGACAAATCTCTAGCTCCGGGCTGTCGACACCTAATGATCGTAAAACTGCTGCATTGGCATCAACTCGAAGGATTGCCTGTGCAACCCTCCGTACAGTGTCAGCAGTAGATGCCAGCCCCGGAGACCCTCGATGTGGCGTACCGAGAAATATAACAGCTGCAGTGCAGGCCAGTATATCTCGGAGTCCATCCTCTTCAGAAAGCTCAGATCGGCGCAGAACCTTTTCAGCGCACTCGATTTAGTGATCTCTTAAGACCTAGCCTTCAAGGTAGCCTAACGTGGACATGGGGGGAGGAAAAGTACCTCTTTAACAATTATTCCTCCCAATGAATGAGCAACGAAGACGAGTCTTCGTCCGGGCACGCGAACTCGGTCTAGAGAGTAGAGCAAATCCTCGACGTGAGAAAATATGCTCCCTTTGTCCACAGGAGTATATCCTTTGGTCACCTTCGAATCGTAGCCGAAGGTGAGAATGCGAGCATTTGGGCATTGTCGAGGTAAGAGGTCGCGCGGCCAAAACACATCAGCAGCTTTTCCAGCGCCAGATTGATGAGCCGTCGATTGTGCTTCCTGCCGAGGCCACCGTAGCCGTTTCTTCCAGGGGGGAAGGGGCTTGTCCTGGTTATCGGGCGGCTGGCGGTATGTCCATGTTTTCTGTGGATGACCTTGAAGTCCATGGACGAACAGAATGCTTCTCAAGGATTAACAACAGTTGAATGTAACCAGATGTCCTAGCGACGTACTCGGTGTCAGGCGGGAGGCCGGATGGGTTGTGCACGACGGAGATGCCCGTGGACGTGATAGCGACCACCGACGCAGCCGTTGCCATGAAGGAGCCTTTATAGATACTCAAATATGAACCTCCAATATATAAAACATCAGAACAATATGGAGCACCACTAAACGACTTAGACTGCTCCTAGTTCGCTGTCATGGACTTGACTGCCCAAGCCAAGCGGGGAAGTGAGCTTAGTGCAAGGCAAATCGATGGTCGGGTCACGTGACAACCTACAAAGCACCTGGCTGCTAAATCTTAGACGAGATATAACATAGAGGCTGGGGTCATACGAAGTTTTTCCAGTCTTCATGACAGTTTTGTAACTAAGATTATTTATTTCGAAGTACTTGATTTAATAAGCTATATGTATTATAAACACTTGTGCAATTATTATCAATAGATACTAATTATTATCTAGTCAGCAGGTTATGTTAACTTAAAAGTCTAGAGTATAGATCTGTAATATTCTTAATCTAATACAAGCTTGCTATACTTAAGTATGGGAGACTGCCAAAAATGCTCTGTCGAAATTGATACATATGTTCTGTAAGCTGACAAACTCATACTATGTTTTCTCTGTTCATCCCACTCCGTCTTTTACACTACCTAGGTACTTTAGGGCGTAGCTAGCGACCACGGGTAGAAAAGCTTGAAGCTTAGAGGTAGATCAAAGAAGCAGTCTGGTACCTTCTGAAATTGTAAACATTAGAACTCAAAGCCCGTGTTGCCGGTGCAAGCTGAGGACTAGTAGCCACGGTTCGGTGCACAGTAACGAGCGGAACACTTGTGTCTAACCAATCCGTTCCAATGGCCATGAGCGCCGATTAATTGAAAAGCAACCCTTGTGACCTGGCCATGTACCAATCTTTCTGGAGACGTGGACCATGCATGGCACGAATCTCGCTCTCTGCTGCCTGGGACGCTAGCGCATCTACGCACCGGCCGGATATGTGGTGGATAACGGGCACGCCGCTAGGTATGTATGCCATATCTAAAAAGTCCATGATTGATTAATAAGATGTACAATAAAACATGATGAGAATATTTATTATGAAGACGAGAGAGCAGCCTCGGTGACACCAAAGTAATCATTCATATCTTCACCCTTACAGACCAAGACTCCCTCCCAAAGACACTATGACCAGAATTGCATCGTTTACCTCGAAGGCTCCGGCCCCTGCACCTTTCATGTCACAGTCCGTGAAGTGTGACGGCTTCGTGTTCGCCTCTGGATCTCTCGGTCTCGACCCTGAAAGCGGTGAATTTGTTGCCGGTTCAACCTACGATCGCGCTGTGAGTGCTCCAATACGAGCTTGAATTAGGTGATGGCATGGCTGATGCGGGAATTTCTCTTCTAGAGACAAAGCCTCCAGAACCTGGCAGCCGTGCTCGAGTCAGCCAGAACTACTCTGTCCAAGGTCATCAAAGTGAACATTTTCCTGTCAAAGATGAACTATATAACGGAAGTCAATAAAGCATACGCAGAGTTCTTCGTTACCGATCCGAAACCTGTAAGTCATGCTTCTAGTTCTGTTTTTTTCTATCTCTATAGGGATGTGTGGCTGGACGGTCTAACAACTTATCATCGTAGGCAAGGTCTTGTGTTGCCGTGGCCGAACTCCCGAGAGGAGCGGAAATGGAGATTGAACTGATTGCGGAAGCATAAAAGATTGCTTCAATCCCCCTATTTGCTTCCATAGAGAAAAGTGAATAGATAGATAAGGAGCCGAGAATCTAAGTTGTAGTTGCCCCGAGACAACGTCAAAGTGAGCACATTGATTGATGCGAGATTCAATAATTTCGAATACACTAGCTACACTCAAGGGGAATAATCCACTCATCGACCTGACGTTTCTTGGTTCCATATCGGAGTTACATAGATTCCCGGGTGGCATACATACACGTAAGTAGTGTAGTAAGATTGTCGGGAGATTGCTCGGGACTTATGCGCCTGCCGAAACAGTGTAATAACTGACAATCTCCTATCTCCTCTCTAAGGGGCATCCCGTAGATAGCTATCTGGATGTATTCCCGTGCGGAGGTGGTTGAGTGGCAGGTTCAAGCGAGTGGGAGGTGAAAGCGATTGGCGCTACTCACCCCGCAGTTCCGGGTTCATTGGTTTCCTTCCTCCATCTCTGGGATTTGTTTATTGCCGAGATAACATAGGTTGGAGTGCTGAGCTTGCGGTCCAATGAGTTGGGGTATTTGCTGTTTTTTTCCGTGTTTCCAAGATAAAAAAGTACGAGGAGCTCTCAATCATCTATTGCCTTGTCCAAAGATTCATCACCAACACCGTCCGTCTTTACCCTGAATCGTTTAAAATTAGCCAGCCATGTCGAACCGGGGCCGCACTTGGGACTACCAGGTTCATTCTACCAAAGACTTACAGCTACTCGGTTCTGCAAAGCTTCCAAAATCCCACAGAGGTGCGCAGTCTAGTCGCAGATGGATGTACAATGTGCTGACGAGGAGAATAATAATAGATTATTACAATGAAGGAGCCATGGATCTCATTATGTACTGCCCATGCTTTGTTTCTTTTTTTACACTGTGAATTCCTCCAACTGACATGATATTGCTCTTGAAATCACAGCCTCCGAGAAAATGAATCCGCCTACGATCGCTACAGAATCCGCCCGCAGGTTCTCCGTGGTCTGACCAATCTCGACCTATCAACCACCATATTCGGGAGTAGGGTCAAATTCACATTCGGGTTCTCGCCTACCGCGATGCAGGGTCTGGCGCATCCTGACGGGGGGGTTGCGACATCCAAGGCGACGGCTTCCGTCAACGTCCCCATGGGCCTGTCCAATTATGCGAGCAAGCCGTTGGAGGAAGTCGCCTCTCACGGCACTGGTAACCCATACATGATGCAAATGAGTCTGCTTAAGGATAAGAAGGTCATGATAAATGTGTTAAAGAGAGCTGAAGGTTGGTCAAAGATGTTCTCGTATCGGCGGAAGAATCGTCCTAGTTAACTCGCTCGAGCTGCCGGCTTCAAGGCTATTTTGGTGACTCTCGACTGCCCATATCTCGGTCGGAGGCTGAATGAGTTTCGTGACAACTTCAGCGTTCCAAAGGGCATGGAATGGCCGAATCTATTTCCTGGCGTGGATGTTACCAACCTGGAAGACGGCAATGACGACCTCGCATACGGTGAGCTGCTTGTGTATGCGTTATCTATCATGCCTAATATGACTAACTTTGGGCGAAAGATATTTCTTTAGAGTGGAAAGATATCATGCCGTTTTTCCGGGAGCATACAAAGTCGGATATCTGGGGAAAGGGGAGTACGTGATTCTCTTCATTTATGGGCAGTGAGTGCCCAGATTGCTTACCTCCTCTTCATAGTTTATGGAAAGAAGGACGCAGAGAAGGCTATCAATGCTGGATTTGACGGCATCATTATCTCCAACCACGGCGGCCGGCAGCTGGACAGTGTCCCCGCCTCTCTCGACGTTCTTCGTGAAGTCGCCCCAATAACCAAGGGGCGCATCCCGGTTGTTATTGACGGCGGAATTCGTAGAGGAACTGATATTTCAAAGCCTTGGTCCTAGGGGCTGACTTTTGCCTGGCTGGGCGACTGGCTATCTGGGGGTTAGCTGTGAGTGCATCGCGTTTGGATTTATATGCACACCAGAAACTGACAGTTTATGACCAGTATGACGGACAACGGGGTGTCGAGCTGGCATTGAACTTAATGTACGATGAGTTCGTGACTGCCATGGCGCTTGCCGGGTATGTGCTTTCATGATTTGCTTCCATCATGCTCCTATCGTATCTAACAGATACAGGTGTCGCAATGTTTCGGAAATTAATAGCGAATTCCTTTCTATGCTGACTCCTGATGGCATTCTGTCCAAGCTTTAAATCGAGACGCCGTATCTCGGAGGATAGGACATGGCTGGTTTAATGACGTAGTTCTTAATCCGCATAAACGTGAATTAATATTATTAATCTGGATAGTTGCTTCATAGGGTGTCTTATATCATTGAATTGTCTGTCTTTTTTGTACTGCATAGGTACATATCTATGTCATTATTTGATTCATTTGATCCTTGAACACTAGTGGCACTCGCTCTCATTATTCCCTAGAAGTACATAACTCCACAGTAAATTCAGCTTAACAATAGGATATCTCCTCATCTCTCAAGTACCATTCTCCATATACTAGTAAGCGTAGCTCCTGGGCACGGGCCTTTATCCCAGACATCTGACAGCACTTGGGTTTCCGTCCTGATACACCCAATTCTATAAATCTCCACATCCTTGTACCATTTCTGGAAACACCCTTGGAGAGCTGGCTCAAACGCCTCGCTCGCTGCTATAAACGCAGGCCAATAAGGTGGCGCGGCGAAGATATGTGCCTCGGCCTTGATTCTTTCTATGGTCTCTATGCTATCGATCACCTTCGTGATGAACAGTTGAAGGTACTGGAGCTTTAGTAGGCGGACGTGCTGTGCAAAATATATGATGATTGCGTTGTGGAAAGCCCGAGTCATGTGCTCCATGATGACCGAGTTGGTTGGGGTTACTCTCCCTGGAGACGCAGGGTCGTTTATCGGATCGGCGAGCCACTCCACGATGCTTAATTCCATTTCGTCGCATTTGGCTGCTAAATCCGATGACAGCCCTCGTACTCCTGTCTGCTCCCGCTCTTCCATGATCATACGGACAACCTCAACGGTCCTGCTCAGCAGGATCAGTAGGCTATGAGGCACCCCGTAGATGTGTGCGTATGTACACATGTCATTTGAATACTGGGAAGATGGCGAGCGGCCATCCGGTGTTGGGCCATCCTCTGGGAGGACGCCTGAGGTGGCCTCAGCAGCCGTGCCCCAGCCCAGCATGGGGCTGCCGCTGTTGCTACTCTGAGCGGTTGTAGATTTCATCCTGGTGCTTTCGTAAACTGTCCGCAGGAAGAAATATATGCGGTGGAGCGCTTGAGCTTTGCTAGAATACTTCTTCTTCCAGCTTCTTGCTTGGTTTATCAAGCGGTATGCTCCATCAAGATGCATAGCGCACGTTTCTGTATCGCCGGACATCACCTACGTTGCGTGTTAGAGGAGACCACAGGTAATATCCTTAAAGATATTAGTATACTCACGTTTATTGAGATCATTGAAAGCATTGTCGCTAGACATTCCTTATACCTGGGGCGCAATCAGTCGAAAAACCCGGTTTGCACGGCCTCCTTGAGGTGCTTGATAGCTATTCCACGAAAACCAGTCGCCACACCCGCCCATTTCTGGCCATCTTCAATTCTGCCCTGATTCTTGTGCTCGTTTGACAAGGCAAATGCACTGATTGATAGCAATGTTTCAGGGTTGTGATATTGATAAAAGCGTTGTTCGACTGACGCAGTCACATTTCATGTTGCAAAGAGTGAGCCCCCAGCACGGAAAATGGGCACTCCGATAAAGTGTAGCCTTCACCTTCCATGTCGAGACTCGAGAGGGCGCTCTGTCACTTACATCACGTCGGCTTCATGGCACACAGAGATGGATCATCCCCTAGGCTGTTACTACATATCGGCGGGTATGGTCGCATTTTCATGCTGGTTTCCCCACTCACCGTCGTGACTGAGTGTGATACTCACAGATTGATTGGGCGTTACTTATGTGGCAAGGCAGAAAGAGGCAGATATGCGTCACTCACCAAATCATGCAGGAATGATACCTCGGCAGAATAAAGAGTGAACCCTGCCGCTGTTCGATTGTGTCTTTCCCTCCCACAATCTCTCAAGAGCAAGCACCAACTCGTACTGAACCAACATCACCCTATAATCAGCTATAGTACTTCCAATATTCGTCATCGCCTGTTGGTTTCAGTGGGCGCTTCGGCGGCGGACGAAGGAGATGACTTCTCAAACAATCTCTTTTCTGTAAGTGCCGTCTATCCACTGCTTCATTGGCGTGCTCATTTTCTAATCAAGTTTCTGTTGGCAGCTTGTTGGCCCTTTTTGGGGAGCGGGTTACCATGCAATTCATGAGCCATTCTATGGGCTGGGCCGACCACATCATCCTAGCCATGGGATCATTAGAGATTCTCACGGTTATTGTTAGCGCTGTCCGAGTTAGTGGTCCAACCTGGCTTGAGGCTCTCGTTGGAAGAGCAATAGAAAATCTCGCGGCGGCCGAACTGGATATCCTATCATCTATATCCGAAGAAGTTTGCGAGCTCTGGGATAGGGAACAAGATGTGCTTATATGGGCCCCAGCCACGTGACGGAGTCTATTATCCTCAAACCAGACAGGAAACTTGAAAGCCACCCTAAAGTGGTAGTAGAGTATTGGGGTGACGCGTTGGACCTAGACTTGGCACCGCATGCTCCGCTGGAAGGATTCTCCTGAAGAAATTAGGGTGGAAGAAGGATCAGCGAATGATCTCCACTTGCGATTGGAACAATTGTTCTGGTACTCGGTATGATGGTCTGTTCACATGTCATTGAAAGCAAGACCATTGAGAAAAAGTATACTCCGCGTAATGGCTTGAAGGCTACAATGGGTTGGCTACAGCAGGGTAAAACAGTCAATCATCAGTCTTTTGATTCCCACGCTGTAATTTTCACCAAAGGGGAAAATCCATCATCACATCTGAGAGATCAACGAGTGAGCGGAAAAGGTCTGACGGACTTGGTCTCAACACCACATACTTGGAGTTAGACACGATTGCCTATACTATGGTCACAATATGCGGATTCGTGATACAGTTCGTTGCATCCCGCACAAGTCAAGTTGTCCCTAATCCTGATCGTTAACCAACCAACCAGCGACTCGGCCTAGCGGTAAACAATTCTCGGAAATGAGACCACCCCACGGACTTGTTTGGATGGACGATTTTGGCAGAATTGCGGCGAATAATACCTAGGGTTCCGTCTTAGCGCCCCTACCACTTTCGGAGACTACCTAATGGAGACGTCGGGATGATAAGGATCACAATGCCTCTAGGATCCAGGGGCATGCAACGGAAATCGGCATTACATCTGAAATGCCGGTAGATTAAGCCAGGCCTTGCCAAGCTTGAAGGAATATAAGCGGTGTGGCTAGGTTTCACCTCCCCAACTAGGCATTAATCTCACGTGCTCCCTAACTACATACAGGTAGCAATCTCACCTCCCTAACTACCGTAGGAATACATCGGGATATTTATAGTATATTTGTTTTGGTTATTGCCGAACAAGGGAGATCCCAAGATCAGGCCACGCGTGATTGACGTCACATAGTTTTTTTTTCATGCTCGCGCTTTTTCTTCATTCGATTGAGACCCTAACTTCTGACTGACGAGTGAATTGACTGACAATTCGCGTTGACTCTGTTCAATTGAAGCCGGCTGTGGCCTAAGAGTCGCTGCGACCAGCGTTTCCAAGTGCTTCCTTCGTGGGATGTCCCTCGCTATCCGTTCAATCGCTCGAGACGAGGAAGGTCTTCGTACGAACTACACTAGCAAGGGAAGTGTGGCTCTAGTTAATACTTGGCTTAATTATTTTCTCACCGCCCTAGTAAGGGTAATAAATTTTAGTATATCCCTAAGTATAGCTCTATGTAAAAGCCAAATAGTTATATATTTCCCTATCTCTCTTCTTTCTTCCTTAGTATAACGAACAATATCATCTCCCTTATCAGTTCCTTCATCTTCTACAACTCTTACATCCATCCTTTATACACATAACAAGATGCCTGTTACTTTCGACGACCCCAGCGGCCCTGTGCCTGTGCCTCGCCAGAACGAAGCGATGAAGGTTCTGAAGAAGGCTGTCGGCGATAAGAATCTGAAGAAGTACCCTTACTGCCACATTAGGTACGTATGCCTCTCACGCGACTGCTTATGGAGATAATACTAACCATGACTCTCCTAGCTTTGGCAAGGGCGGTTCATTCCACTACCGCTGTTTCTCAGGCAAAGAGAAGAAGATCGGCCAGCAAGGTCCTGCAGGCGCGGGCAAGATTTAATTTTCTTAGCAGTCCTTGTTTAAGGTAAGTCATGTTTTGCCCAAGTCCCCTTAAACTTAGTAGAGGGGATTTATTAACTTGTTTAGGGAATGACCCCCCGAATATAGAGTTGGAATATATACTTGGATAAAATATATTTAAGTTGTAGAATAATATCACTTCCTTATTCATAAACGCAGCAGTAGGCATAGTGTTTGGCTGAATTGTCTCTAGCGGAGAGTCGGTCATGGTGACAGCCATCGCCATCGGTGAATTTGTATTCGTCGTAGCGGTCGAGTTTGTTGACAAAAGGTGTCTGACAACCGAGAGGTGATGCCGCTCCTTCTCAGAAGGATGAAGTGCCAGTTTCAAAATTCGGGTCACATTGCTTGTCGCCGATAAAAGTGCTCGTGTTATATAAACCATAATGGACATATGTAGCACAGTGAGTATTGGATGGGAAATTATCTAACTATATTGTCGTCTGCAATCTTCCGTAATCGAATGCATACCACCCCCTATGCAGCCCATAAGTCCAGCCAATTTAGATAGGAGGCTGTTGTAAACCTGATGTTAAACCAAATCACAGGTGCAGAAGGCGAGGCTAGGGATAATGGCAGCCTCACCCCTGTTGCACCTAGCACCAGGCAATATAGCACAGGGTCGTATATTAAAGCTACTGCGTGGGTAGACGTGCAGAGAGTGAGCCCATTGGTCATGGCGCCTAGACCCTACTGCACCTTACAACTGCTGCTGGGCAGGAGGCTATTGTAAAGCTGCTGTTGAGGAAAGGCGCAGCCATTGAGTCTCAGGACCTAGATGGCCTGACCCCGCTACACGTTGCAGCTCAAACTAAGGAAGAGATGGTCATCAAGCTACTCAAGAAAGGTGCACAACTTGAGGCCAAAGATCGTAATGGCCACACCCCAAGACACTATGCAGCCGTGAGTGGGAAAGAGATGACTACAGAGTTACTGCTTGAAAGAGGCGCAGAACTTAAGGTTAAAGATCCATGGCCAGACCCCAACCCGCCTTGCGGCTGAAGTGAGAGGGCGAGAGGGCGTGATTAATTTGCTGCTGGCGAAAGGTGCAAAACCAGAGTAACCCCAGGGGGAGAGACACTGTCTAGGTTACGCATCGTTTCATAGAAGGATTGAAGTGAGACAACTTGTGATGATCCTAGCATTGAGCAGGCAAAGTAACAGGTTTCCCAAATGAACACTCTGCCTCTCCAAGTGCAGCCAGTACACTCAACTAACCTGGGCCCATTCTATCCGTACGTAAATATTAAAATATTCTTGAAGTGATCTAAGATGTTAATAACACAACAATTAGGGCCGGTGCTAAAATAACTTTTGGAATTGATACGGTGTTACTACAAGATGTATGAAAGCGTGTTAAGCGCAACACTTCAAGAGCTCAACCACTCCGCTATGCCCGCTGTTCCAAGTCATCAGGCCTAGTTTCATAGTCTTTCTTATAGCGAAGGTTCATTTCCCCCTTATAGACATCAATTCGCGACCTTGAGAAATTTAGTAACGACTGTACCGTCTTCAAGGACCTGTTTCTCCTCCTTCAGTTGATAATTGAACAACTTGGGCAGTGCTTGTTTCCATATAAACCAGTAGATAACTCCCACGATAATGACGGAGATTCCAACGAGAGGGTATGCCCAATAGACAATGCTGGTGTCGCTTGTTCCCTTGTCCGGGGCGAGAAATGGCGCGACGAGCAAGAATGCCTGTCCGACGAGGAACAAGACAGCCACAGGTAACCAGACGCGGATGGGGCGATGTGCCAGGGGCTTCGTTTTGCGAAGCCAGAACAAACCCGTCACAACTAACAGGAATAGAATAGACCTAGCGTAGCCCTCGATGTTGATGATGAAGTTGTAGGCATCACCAAATGGCACGCCGACAATCATGATGAAGGAAGGGATAAAGTGCAAGAGAAGGCCCGCGCTTGGTGCTCCGAAAGGCCACGTGCTGGCCCAAAATTGAGGGAACGGAATGACTCCCTCCTTCGCCAGCTCCTGGTTAATACGCGAGTGGGCATAAGTGACCGTCATCACATTTCCCAGCGCGGAAAATGCGATGAGAACGCTAAAGGCCCGCTTCGCAGCGTCATTGAAGACCGTCTCGAAGAAATAAGCTGCGACGGTGACCCCAGACTTGGAAATCTCGGCTGGTGTGCCGGCAGCGTAGTACGAGACATTGGCCAACAAGTATAGGACACCGCTGATGGTCAAGGCAACAGGTCCCGCGATACGAAGGGTTCGCACGGGATCCTTCACCTCGTTCAGAACGTAAGCAGCATTCTGCCAGCCTGCAAAGGCAAACAAGACTTTGAAAAGGGCAGTGGCGTAAGCGTTTCCTCCACGAGAGGAGCCCTCAAAGGCATTTTCAAAGGATGCGAAGGGATCAGGGATCTTTTCTTTGGAAATCGCGCCACCCATGACAGCCCAGCCAGACACGATGAGGAACAAGAGTGTAAAGACTTTGAGGCTTGAGATTGCGTTCATGAACATGATACCAAATCGGGGAGCAAACGAGTGGATCAGACATGTACCTGCCACAGCGGCTGCTGCCACGCCTCTTTGCTGCCATTCGGAAGAGGTCTTATTGCCAGCTACCCACATGTAGCTGGCGAAGGATATGGCACCAGTCGCTGAGGGGAGTGTCAGTCGCAGTTCATATTGTCATCTTACTCTGAAGTCACGTACCAGTGAAGCCAAGCGAGACGGTATATACAGCATACACAACTGTAGCAAGAGATTTCGGGTATCGGTATGAGGCCTCAAGGTAGACCTTTTCCCCTCCACTTCGAGGGAACATTGAGCCGAACTCGAGCCAGACAAACATGCCAGCCATGGAGATGGCAAAGCCGAGAACCCAGATGAGCAAGGCAGCTCCGACACTGCCAGTGCTTTTTGTAATGGAGGAGGGAGTGGAAAATATTCCAGTACCAATGATACGGCCTAAGCTTGAATGGTGTGAGTCCAGAGCTAGGCCAGTCTATTGTGTAGTTCTGACTTACATCAACAACGTAGTAGAAAACAGGCCCAAGTGGCGGCCCATGCCTCCAGCCGTGTCCTCTTCCATAGTCAGTTCACCAGCTTGGAGGGACTTGTCCATTTCCCCCAGCTTGGTATCTTCTGGAAGCACATGATTGTCGGAGGGTTGGATGGCCTCCGCCCCCTGGTCTGTCTTATGCTTGTCCATCTGGGAGTTTTGAGGTTCCATGTAGGTTGACAGCATGTAGTAATGATGGCAGGAAATAACTATCAACTAGCCTGAGTGCTAAGTAGACAGTTGTAGAAAGACAACGAAATGACTTTCGAGAGGGTGGCTTTGGGGGCAATTTATACCATGCCGCTTATCATGCCGTAGGAGACAAGCCGCCAAGGTCCCTGGAGCATTCACTCTTTTGGGAAGAAGAGCGCCTCGTCACATGGATCGAGCTCGATCCTTATCTCGCAGCCTAGACTACGTCTAAGCAGAACGTTGGGGGGCGTCTGACCTGCTATAGTGAGGGAGGGCTTGACTCGTTGTCCAAAGGAGCAGGTATCATCACAGAAGCAAGACCAGCGGTGCAGAGATCGATAGACTTATCTCAGAGGTCGTTTGACTCGTGTTATCTTGAACCTTATATTGTACTCTGTGGGGTTGACAGGGATCAGCATTATCCATTTTGGGTAATGGTGGAGTGATAAGTTTCCTCCTCCCTGGTAGGACCATAATTGGCCAATGAGGCGTGTCTCCGTACATCGGCGAGACGACTTTGGTTTGTTTGTGGAGGAGCATCATCCTGGAGATGGGCGGGAACCCTCGTTGTTGGCTGGATCAGCCAGCAGTTGAGTGACCTTATGACCCGTCTCTTCCCCTCTCTTGCCTCTCAGCATTCCAAGCAAATCACACCTCAACCCGCTATCAAGATGGCCAACTTCCTCTCCTCCCGCGCAACAGACCTGGTTCGCGACCTGGATTTGCCTTGGCGATGGGCTCCACGAGGAACCTACTCGCCCATCGACAATCCGTCAGGCCTGGTCTCTTTTGGCACTGCTGAGAATGTAAGTGCCCGTGATCTGGTCAACTCGTCCATATATTAATTGGAATTTTAGGCTCTTGTGCATCAAGATCTGGAGGATTTCACAAAGCACTATGTGAGTAAATAATCCTCGTTGAGTCCCGACAACGGCGAAATTCGCCCATTGTTCAAACATATCTTCCAAATCGTCGTCTAATACTTCCAAGGTCACCTTTCCGAAATCAGTCTTCAGCTACGGCTACAGTACGGCCGGTGGACCTGAGTTACCAGCCGTGATAGCCCAGCATGTGAACGAATACTTCCAGCCCTCTCGACCATTAGACGGAAGTGAGATCCGGGTAACCGGTGCAGCAACCGCAATGCACGAAATCCTAGGCTGGGCGGTGGGAAATCCCTATGACGGTATCCTGACCTCTAGACCCGTATATGGACGGTTCGAGCTCGACTTTGGAAATAAAGCAGGCCTCAAAGTGGTGTATGCTGATACTACTGCCGAGAACTCGTTTGACGTCGATGTGGTCGACGCATTCGAGAAAGCATTGGCCAAGTCTCGCGCTGCTGGTGTAGAGATACGAGCCCTTCTCATTGTCAACCCCAACAATCCTGTTGGGCGTTGCTATCCCAGGGAAACGCTCATCGAGATCATGAGGTTCTGCCAGGCGAACCGACTCCATCTCATCAGCGACGAGATATACGCCACGTCCGTCTTCAGCAGTGACCTGCCCGTCTTCACGTCAGTCTTGTCCATTGAGCCTGGGTTTCTGGATGATGAGTTGCTTCACGTCATATACGGATTTAGCAAGGACTTCGGTGCCGCCGGGCTCCGCCTTGGCTGCCTGATAACACGAAGCGAGCCGATGCTGAAGGTTATACAAATGACAATGCGCTTCCATAATCCTTCCGGTGCGTCCGTGGCGATCGCCACAGCGATGCTAAGCAATCGAGACTGGTGTACCCAGTTCGTCTCCAATACCCGTCGCAGAATTGGGGAAGCCTATCAGCATGTCACCGCGGGGCTGAGGGAGCTAAGTATCAATTACCTACCAGCCAACGCAGGTTTCTTCGTATACGTTGACCTTTCCCCGTACCTTGATCAAAGTGCGGAAGACCCCGAGTTCGACCTCTCCCAGAGGCTGCTTGACGCAGGTGTCTTTCTTCACCCCAAGGAAGAGCACGGCAAGCAAGGCTGGTACAGAGTTGTCTACACTCACCCTCCGGAAGTTGTGGATGAAGGATTAAGACGGTAAGATTCAATCTCCTCCCATCGTCCACCTCATTCGCGCACTAACAAGATGAACAGCATCAAGGCGGTTCTTCAGAAAAAGGCTTAGAATTTGGGTTCCCCGCATTATCAGCATTTACATTCATATATTCATAGAGAAAGAGCCCGATTACAAACATCTTATGGCTGTTTGATTTATTACATCTGCTATAAACTATCTCATGCATTCAAGGGTCCATCCATAAGTTCATACATTTGAACATATAACTTTCTACCAGTGATGGCATTGCTTCAAGTTGTTCCATAACTTCCATCCACGTGTAAATCCCGTTTTCGATACATATTCCTTTGGCTGCATTTAAAAGATCCGATTGCCCTTGGTCCGTAGCCGCGAGAGTCCCAATGAGCAATGCCCAGAGAATCTCCGGGCAAAAATTCTTTGAGTGAAGCGATAGGTCAATACAATCAAGAGCACAGGTCAAGCGGAAGAGCAGCTTGCGTCGTATGCGCCCTCCCACAGGCGTCTCTCGAAGATTAGTGTAGATAAAGAGGAGAGCAGCGTGGAGCAGAAGTTGCCCAATGCCAGCTGTGGCATCGAATTCGGTGACAAGACTGTCGTCGAATTGCGATAATAATATGCAGTACTCAACTTCGTACACCCTGTCGGGATAGTAGGCGTCCCACGGAAGTGGACGGTTGCCAATCAAATTGAGAAAGGTAGACAGCTCATGCAAAGAAAGTAGCAGCTCGTAGATGTTGATCTGATGCTTCCTGGTAGTCATATTTGCCAAAGATTTGTTGAGTATGAGTCGATATTTATCTCGGCTGTCGACTGGTGTAAACTGCCACAGTTGAAACGGCTTCTCGGTATTGTAGGCAGGAAAATAAGGTGCGGTTCTGGAATTTAAGCTTGCGAGGAGGTCTGACCTTTTGATGTGTTACAATAAATACGCAATGAAACACGTTTTACCTCAATTACTTACCATAATACCATCCGACGTAGGATGCCTCGCATGCCGAGATTTTCCAGGCCGCCCCTCATTTGTACCATCTGTCGTAAGCCATTTATGTGGATGATGGAATTTGAAGGCCGCCCGTTGAGATTCTGCATCGTCAGTATAGGACGACTCTTTCGAGCTTATCGCCTCTTAACATACCTCCACGTTGGCTATACATGCCACAGTAGCAATGGTTGCATCGTCAATCATTTCTGGTGATGTACTGATGCTCTTATTTATTGCTGATATAGATTGCAGCAGGTAATACGGTGCGATGGAGGAAGAATCTCCTAAGGCCTTCGAGAATCGTGAGGCGGCATAAAACAGATGCATGAAGAGCCACGCAGGGTTCTTACTGCACACGCTTCGATAAGTTTCACTCGGATCTGAATGGACCGAAGTTCGAATAAATGAATTTGCGTCTATGGGGAATATCAGTCATGGCCTGTGATTGGGGCACTGAGTGAAGAGCTGACTTTGATGAAGGAGCATGAGCGAACGCGAGTCAGCCGCTACGGCCAAGCTGGAAAAGGGATCGAGTTCACCATCCAGCCAGGTCTGGACGATCAGTGGAGAATTTGATTGGTATGCCGCAGCAGAGTCTGAGATTGGATCTTCGCTGGTCATGAAATCCGCCGCAACGCTCCTCGGGCTTGGTTGCGGCCATAAATCTGACGATACAGTCGTGCCAGATCCCCTTCTCAGTCCCGTATTGATGTTTCCAGGGGGCGACACTGGTTGTTTTTTCTTTTGCTGACGCCTGTATCGGCGCATCACATGCGCTCTGACGACTTTATTTGTCGCCTGAGTATCTTGGCTAAACTGGCCGCTTTGGCCAATAAATTGAAATTTCTCCTCGGGCATGGCGAATGCGGGTAACAATCACGATACCAGATCCAACTTGGGAGAAAAGTGTTGGGGTTGCTCGGGACTAATATAAGGAGGAATCTAATCATCACGTGATGCACGGATGAGAACAATTGAATCATTTGATATCAGCGCCTCGCTGATTTTCATCAATGTCAGAGTCTAATGGTATTTAGGAAATTAGAAATATCCATGAGTTTCTCTCCCTGGAGATTAAGACACGGGGATCCCACTACGAAGCGTTACATCAGAGAAACGCTTCGGCGCCTTCGGGATTTACTCACGTGGAGACCAATAATTTCCGTTTGAAGAAGCTTCCCCTATAGCCTTGCTAATCCACCAGCCCGACAATAACCAACATGGGAGGAATTCCAACTGCTTCAACAGTGATTTCGAGAAAGAAAGGGCAATGTTAAAAAGAATAAATCGAGTAAAGGAACAACAAAAATGCCGGGAGGTTAGCCCGTGATTATTGCAAGACTCGATCATAGTTCACACAATCTTCATTATCTGAACAAAATAATAATCTAAGATTACTAGTAAAATACCACATTTATTAAAGGGTAGCTCTGTGATCATCGTTTTAAGCCCATACAGTACACCTGAACTTTTGCGAAGGCTATACAAACTCTTCCTTCAGCATAACTCGTAGTCATGAGGTTTCTTCACCACGATCGCCAAACCCCCATAACCAAATTGTTTGAAACACTACAAATTTTTGAAGTTTGGCACACCTATGAATGAGGCTCATGCCTCCTCAACGCAGGATTTAGCAATTTACCCTCCTGCAATGACTAGCCGGGCCAATACTACGCCCGATGCTCCGGCATGGGTGCAGGGGCAAGCAAGGTAAGATGGGGTGGGGGGGCGCGCGAAGCAATGCTCTGGGCCCTGCCAAACAATCAGGCGTTGCATAAAGTGCATTTCTTGCTCCGAAGATATGAGACTTCCCCTTGCTAGCGATCAATTAATAGTAACCAATATCCAATAAGACTGGATACAGTCCTGTGGAAAGGCCGTTGACGGGATGAAACGATCGAAGGGCTGCTGGGTCAAGACCTCAAAGGATTGAAGGACGGCTGTGGGAGGTTCCGCTATGAGATAGGAGTAAGCCATGATGAGATGCACTCCATTTACAGATAAAGGTCAGTGGAGTTATAGAATGTAAAGGCGTCAGATGACTCCAGTTCCGCAAGAAGTACCATAAAGAAACTCCAAACTGGAATCCTTGCCGGATGGATCAAGTCAGCTAGACCGCAATCAGACAAAAAGAGAGGACACAACCAGTGTCTGGAGGTCGATATGGGAGATAGTACACGGCCCACCTCGCCTTGGAGGAAACAATAGCTAGGTTCCGTTCTTTCAAGGCCTGCAGCCGACTGTCGACCGAGAACCCACACAGCGGGCCTCGGACATGCTCTGCAATTTATGACTCGGATCCGATATCCATTGCGTTGAGGTGTCGGTTCTGGCATCTTCTATTGCTGACCTTTACTGTGTGACTCACACCGATGGCTTGCATTTAGGACTTCTCCCTGGACCTCCTGCCTAGTTACAATGTTGATGCATATTTGGTCTTTTGTCTACTCATCACTAAATCATTGGGAGCAATGCGAGCACAAACAAATTAAGCATCGATCGAAAGTGTCATAGTAGTAAATTCTGGCTAATTACTTCATACTTGCCTAGCAAACGAGGCTCTAGGATAGTGGCACGCGCGGGTTCCCAATCGCTTTCTCAAACTCTTCTCGAGTGATCCATCTCCACTTGTTCGTTCAATGCCTTTGGAATGACGGCCACCATGACCAAGTGAATCTCCCATTTCGCTTCTTCTCCTTCTCTCTTTCCTTTTCCTTCCGTATTCGTTCCCTTTTTTTCCTCATTCTCTTTTTTTCTCTGTCCGGGGTAGTCAATAATCCTGCAATTAACCACGTCGTAGCGCCATAAAGAAGACACCCCCCCAGGAATTTTTTCGGCCAGAGAGAGATATGGGGATTATAGGGGAATAGCCAAGACGTATCCCGATACCTGATCGCTCTTAATGCGCTTGCCGTGACAAGTGAGATATTAATGCATGCGAATAAGCTCCAGCATCGCCAATGTGTAACGTAATACCATGCGCGCTCATCTTCGCTCAGATGAGAGGGCGCGGCGGGAATCCCGTTGGGTGATAGAACCTGGAGGTGCAACATCGGAGCAACGATGGGAATGAGATCGATCATGACGCAGAACCAATCTTCCGTGCTAGGCATGGCGTCAAGCAAGCCGTCCGTGTTAGACATGGCGTCGAGCAAGCCGTCCGTGCTAGACATGGCGTCGAGCAAGCCGTCCATGTTAGATGGAACCTCCATGGTGAATAAAGTTGTAGAGCAGATAAATGTGCTATTTTTTAGGTGATGTGGTGCCGATTCTGTTTGTGCTTATGTTGCTGATGGAGACAACTGTGCTGTTCTCGAGCAATTCAGGATTCCGCAGTTCGTTAGGATAGGTATTTGAGGGTTTTTAAAGTGGAAAAATTGATAGTGAGAGAAGTTGTACTTCTGAGTCTGACTGGTGCGCGTAGGTGTTGTATTGTGTGGGTTGAGAGGTGTAAGTTTTGTACTGGGAGCAAGGAGAATGGCTGCCTTTAAATAATCATGGAGAGAAGCCTTGGAGTTCTACAATCGAGTCACAATGAAGTCCGAGTTTTATGAGGCTGCTGCCGGGCAAACGCCTCAAAACTTTGCTTGCGAAAACCTTTGTTTCTACATACGTAGTGTTGAAAGTAAACATCGAAAAATGGAGCTAATTCTGCTTTCACGCAACCGCATCATATCAAATCGTCAGTGTTAGGAAAGTGATCAATCTATAAGACACATTTCTCGAGAAGATTGCTCAGAGGATCAATCCAACTCGTTGGGGGCGTCGCAAAACGCAGCAGAGGGCCCTGTTCACGAGAACAGAAGTAGCACCAGCGGGAAAGCCATCAAACCCAAAGAGCCTACGTATGCGTAGCCTTTCTAATAGGCGGCCAATTTAAGTTCCCCAAATGAAGGCCCACTTGGAGTAAAAGCTTTCTGATATCTCTGCCTGAGGGAACCTGCATCGTTCGATGATCTTTAAGCTTTCTAGACTTATCAAAGGTTGTTTTTGAACGCCAAAGACTCGGGGGAACAATGCTCTTGGGAGCGTCTTATTAGTCACATTATTAGGAGATCTTCACGACCAACACATACGACAATTTCTGGTGTGAAGTACAGGATCCCATCTACGTCATATCCAATGCGCCATTCCTGCTTCTATAGTGCTTTTCTTGTTTCCTCGTTGGACTCCAGAATCAGCTGTAAAATCTAGAAACTACTCCGTAGGCACCTCGGAGTCATAAAATGAGTTCCAGAGGGGTTAACAGAAGGCGGAATGTATCCGCAGGGACACATAAGCGGATCAAATCAGTCTCCATTCCTTTACTGGAAAAGTGTAGCGCGGGGAAGCATTCGGATGAACGGTTACGACGATGCAAATGGATCAAAAAGAGCACATATAGAGAGGCCGCTACTCCGTCGAGACAAAAACATAAACAAGATTCACTTCCAAATCTCGGACATCCCGTAGCTTAAAGTACTCTTCTTGCTCTTTATACTGCCCAGACTTCTCGGATCACTATTGCTCTTTGCTAGTTCAGCTGCCCACACAGGTTCGGAATTTTGAGAAGCCGATCATGGGCGACAAGGAAATCATATCCCAGCCAGGCTCCTCCACAGCCTCTCCATGGGCCATTGCGCTAGCTAGCTACTGCAATATGTTCTGTGTCGGCGCCGTATACGGTCTGAGCACAGTTCAGATCTATCTGCCGCGACTCCTAGACTTGGATGAGAGATTCTCTTTCGCTCCATTTGCAGCAGCATGTATCGGCTTATCCTTCGGCGTGGGCGCATGTGCTTCCGTGCTCTGCCGTTTAGGGGCAAGGGGTACTGTTGCAAGAGGAACATTGTTATGAGGGATCGGGCTTGTCGGGGCCGGGCATTTTTTGGCTTTGTCTTGCTTGAATGCGCTTCTCCTTTCCCTGGTGGCCGGCGGCATTGGTGTCGGTTGACCTATCTGTTATTATCATGATTGGTCAAGCTTTTCCAAGCCAAGCGCTCGCGAAAAGCTCAATTGGCCCCTTGGGCTTCTCGAGTGGCGTAGGAGCATGCCTCATCCTCCGATCCTATCTCGAATTTGGCGTTCTGGCCAAGGTTACTCTGGGCGAATGCCTTTAATCCGGAGGCTATGTATCTATGTTGGTTGCGATATCTACCACTATACTCCTACCTAATGACTTGTCGCTATTGAAAGCTTCCTCATAGAAGCGAAATATGGCCAGCTATGGGTCGTGGGCCACATTTACGACGTTACTCTTTTTTAATGCTCTTCCTGGGATGACGCTGTTTGCTGGGCTGCTACCGCTGGCACTTTCATTGGGTGGAACAAGGAATAGCAGCAGCTTTACCATATAGTATGATTTATCTTGCGCTTAGAGGATTCCTAGCTCAGCCTTTCACTGCTCTTGTAGGATCAAAACGGTCTTTCATGATCCTGTTCGGCCTCAGAGGATTCCTATTGTTGAACTTCGAGCAGTCTTACGGTCCAAAATTAGCTGTACTGGCTCACTCAGTCATTCTCTGTGGTCATGGGACTGGATTCAGTGTGCTACCTGTCCTGGTCAAACGGATGCCCCCTGATACAGTCTCATTCGCCAGAACCTACGGTCAGATTCTTGTTGTATGGGGATTCGCAGGTGTAGTTGGCAGTTTACTTTGTTCTTTGTATGGTCCTTTGTCTGAAGGCACTGCTGCCCTCGGCCAGTCGATCGGGCTTATAGCTATACTAAATAGTGCTCTACTCTGCACTGCCATTAGATGAATATCTAGATTAGAAAATAATCACGAAATCACACTTTTAAAATAGCAGGATTGGTTGCTAGGGCCCGATTTAGAACAAATGGCAACCTCACAGGTATTATCCAATATCACGTCGCTGTTCTATTACATGCATGTTACAGATTGCACTAAAGAAGACTCCTTTCTTTCTATTGTGATCAACTGAGCCGTTCAATCTTTATTGTATTGAATTACGCATAAGAAAATCTGTAGGAGGTCTTTGGGGAGCGATATGATTGGGTGTGATAGATAAGAGGGAGAAAAAAGGATATGCCGTTCTGGACGTCTTCGCCACATTATACACGGCATTACAACTTTCCCGCTAGAGAAATATAAGTAGCTCCCATAGCTGTAATTATGATCATAAGCATTTTATGAGTCACTTATCCAGCAAGTGAAGGGCAAAAATTAACTCTCGAGCGAGAGTTTGTTGCTTATCGTTCTCCCACTGAAAGTATTCCAACTCACCATTCATGTGCTCTGGCTCTGAGCAAATTCTTCCAGACCGCCTCCCTTCGCCTAGTAGCGGATGCGTTGTCTTGGATGGTTTTGATGGGTAGGTCGACGTTCTTTCCATACTATTCGTAGGAGGACTGGTAGACTTCCATGTTCATGGGTTGGACAAGTCCAGATGTATCAAGATCAAAATATCCAATTACTGACGGCTGCGCAAACTGGAAATTTCTTGTTAGCGATACTAAACTCAAGGAAAATGAAATAATAAATCGTTTCATTTTCTGATATTTAGCTGGATATTATGTTTAGTACTGGGTGAATTGCTTCGATATTGTGTCGAAATTCGACGCCAACATGCATCACATAACCGATATTTTTCATTTTGTATCGAAGCAACAATTGCTAGTTATTCAAAGAAGGCAAAGACCAGGTACAAGCTACAAGGCATATACCAAAGACACTGTATTCTGTGCTTTTTTACCACACCTAGGTATTTACCGTGATCCTCCTTGAAGCGATGGGTGCACCCAATGGAGAGGAACTCGCCACAGAGATAAATCAATGCTGATATTGATGGGGGGAGACATGTGTCGCACTCGCTAGAATGGCCTGCATCCAAGAGAACCTGCCATGGACAGTCTGGCGGCCTTCATTAAAGACTGTAACAGCCAGGAACGAAGTATCTTTCTCTTCTGCTAAGCCGTCAGAGGAAGGGATTGGTGCCTCCTTCGGAAGTGACCAACTACCTAGCTATGATTCGCAGCCCCCAAATTGTGGCCTCGGCAACGAACGCTGGTATGAACCATCCATGCTGGGCACTTACCTATCGCTTATTCCAGGCCTATGGCTACCTGTACCTGTTATGATGGGGGATCATGGCGTCATAAGCGCTTTCCAAAAAGCCCAACTGGGCAAGAATGTCGGTCGGGCCATTGCCACAGGTGATATTGATGAGAAGGTACCAAGGTAGGTTGCTGCGCCAAGTGAGTGACATTGAAATTGAGACACTCAAACATTAGGCTGCTTATTGTCGAGTCTGCGACCGATATGATTCAATTATTGAGTCCTGATAATATAAAGTTTACAGATAATATGGTAGATATTGTCGCTCTTTTCGTTTTATACTACTGAATTTCTTTATTCATTGCGGAAAGTAGTCGATTTATAACCACTCTTCCATTAGGTGTCACATGTCTCCTGTCACCCACTTGTGCGTGCCATAGGCAGGTAGAAGGGTATCATGGCTCCTTGCTCTTGTTCCCAGAATGTGTCCTAAGCGATTGGATCCCCACTCTCTGGGCGTCTTACTTGCCCATCGGTACAGAAAGCAAAAAGACGGGTTATGTCGAAGGAAGTTGCAGTGCAGATAGTAAACAGATGGGCTGTAGTTAAAAGAATGCCATGTTCCGGATTCCCTTCTTCTCTTCTTCTTTTCTCCTCACACCTCCTAAAACCCAATTTTTTTTATTTACAAACAATCTTTTTTATTTAAAAAAAATAAAAATAATGGATGTAAGTACTCCGTCCTCAGTTCACCCAAGCCTGCATCTGTCTGGCAATGACTTCACGTTTCTTTCTTTACGGCTTGATTCTGATTGCTTTATAGAGCTATATGGCGGTTTGGGGTGCGCCCGGGACTGGTTCGAGAGCTTGCCTGGCATTGTCCTCTTGCTGCTGTGGGTCGAGTTGGCGATGTGGTTGTCCACGCCGGAGACCCGAAGAGTAGCCAAATGGCTATTGCAAATAGCCATTTGGATATTCCGAGGGTTGATGGAGCACAAAGAAACCCGTAAAATTGTGCTTGACGCCATCTTCGGCAGGAGGCTTAACCACAGTAGTTAAGACAGCAGGCAGCTCTCGTGCCAGTCCACCCCCGACAAGCCCGGTACCTTCGGGTCCAGCCGGGCACAACCCGCCGATGTATTACATGCCTTCGCCTTCCGAGTCGTCCGTTTGCTTCGACAGCTCAGTCCAGCCGGGTACAACCAGCCGATGCA